AAAAATTTCAGAAATATCGTCATTTTTGAAAAATACGTATCTTGTGCAGAATTAGATGCCGATTCAGAATCAAAAGGCCCGATGGTCGCAGGGATTGCAAATAGTCAGAAAAAAATAATTTGTAAGTATAAAATTTCGCACTTCCCAAAAATTAGAAATTTTACGATTATTTCGCATTTCTGAAGTTATTTATGAATATTTTTCAAGAATTTGTGTACTATTCGAAAGCTCATTATATTTGCCGTCTCGCAGAAAAAGAAAGTCAATCTTGTCTTTAACAACCACTCTATAAACTGCTAAAGCTGTATATGGGCGAGAAGAGAATTTAATATACGTGAAAGGCAAATAACGAAACGTGATCGCTGTTTTTTTAAGTAATTCCAAGGCATATCTGATTAATTGTAAAATGAACCTTTTTATTCTGTCGATTTCTATGGTTTTAAAAAACGGAAAAGTATAAGTAATAACGGGCGATCAAAAATGAGTTGCTGTCGAGTCGCCTTTGGAAGTTCAAGTTAAATACGATTTCCCATGTAAACAAAAGTTCCAAAGGTGACTCGACAGCAACTCATTTTTGATCGCACAGTAGTATGAACAGATGCAGCATTTTTTTCTTAAAAAAAAGTATTTAGACTTTTCCTCTAAAATAATTAGGGGAGCTAGTAATTGACTATAGGTAAAGAAATTACCATTGAAATCCGTATGCTGCGTCGCGCTAAGGCACCACCCGGTATGTGGTATATTTGCAAAAAAGCTGGCTTTCAAATGCCGAAGCGCGTACCTCTAAGCCGGGATATTCGTCGGCTCTTCCATTGCGTTCGACGCTCTTTATCTATAAGTCGATCATAACAGTGAAGTGAGATTAAATTATAAGTCGTTAATTTTTTTCAATAAAATCCTATTTCATAACATAACAGAAAATTGTGGTAACTATATAAATATATTATTGAATGTAACTGCATTCAATAATATTATTATGAAATTATAATTTTTAACAAAGAAAAGTAAATTAAATCAAATTATCGAAAAATGTATCGTCATCAGCATGTCCAACTTCAGCTTGATTTTTTCAATGTCGCCGTCAATATCAATGCAATTCATTTTGCATTTGCAATTTGTACTACAAAATACCCCTTCTCTTTTTTATTGACATTTTTGCATGTGGAACGAAATAATTTGCCGTATATCTTCTAGAACTGTAGGTTGCTGATGCACTATTTTTGGAATTGTAAAATTTCCTCATTTAAATCATAAAATAAAGGATCTTTTTTTCACCATACCAATATGACATGATCCGTGTAAATGTTTGATAATATAACCTAAAATGACACGTAATTCAAAAATTACCTAAGAATATGTACTTAATTACTCTTTGCCTATACGCACATGGAATTAAAAATCTTCTCTAGGGGGCAAATCCTGAGCTTTCATTTGTAAGGGTTGGTTGAATTTCATTATCGTCTTTTGCATTTTTATTTTTGTATAAGAGTAACAAATCTTCAGGAAATGTTTGTTCCTTCTTCTGGTGTCATTTGAGCAAACTTGTGAAGCTTGGGTTTATAGTACAGGAGATTTTGAAGATGGCGGTAAATGCTTTAGAGTAAGTCAATAAACTTCTTAGTAATTTCACGGCACGAGTGATTTTAGTAGAAATCACTCGTGTCGTGGTCTTAAAACATATTAATCCATATTGCATTAAAAATCAGAAACATCATTTGTAACATCCTTGGTATTTTCATAGATTTACTTTCAAGATCACAAATATTTCGAATCCTTGAACAATGTCAATACCTAGTTCAAATTTATTTAAAAAATCAAAAATTATCCCAATAAATTAAAATAAATTAAAATTCATACCATTAATGATATCTACACAAGTATCACCTAAGGGAAGTGGACTCCAAACATTCATAAATTTCAAAGTACCTATAAATCGGACCGGTGACATGTGAAAATTTCAGTGTCGCCAAGTATTGTGGCACCATACGCAATGAATTAACAATCGATAATAAACAAATAAGTATGTGATAGGAAATGACATACAAACAATATATTGCTTGTAAATTAACGAAACATATATCAACAAAACGAAACTGTTAACGTAATCGAGTAAGGGAAAGATTGAAGAAGGGTGGTAAATGATGTAGGTAAGTTATAGGGCGTTTAGATGTATTGATCATTTAGCAGTGCCCGGACGAGGCGGCTTTGAGCTTCTCCCTTTTACGTAGGTTCTTATATGACCGGTTAAAGTTAAAACCGGCTATAGTTAAAATGACAATAAAAATTCAATCATAGCAAAAGCAAAAGAACAAAATGTAGGTTTTTTTAAAATAATTAAGTAATTCATTTACAAGACAAAAATGAAGGACATGCGTTGAATGTGATCACCTAAAGACTTGAAATTTCAGAAAGGTTGCCAACATGAAATCACGAACTTTATACGAGGAACAAACGCCTTTCTCCTCTGATTATGCACCTGGTGCATACAGGTACTGACCACCTTTCGCTTAATCTTGGATGACGACATTGAAATTTATACCAGATCAGTCACTTTTCGAAGGTCGCTGGTTGCAAATTTGTATAATTTCGTGCACATTGTGGGAAATATTATTATTTATTCAATTGAAAACAAAGAATTTTGATTACCTATGATACACCAAGTCTACACTATTAAAGCAACTTTAGCGGACAGTCGGTGTGTTTGAAATGAATATGTTTAATATCCCCGACTACCGAATGTGTCAACCAAGAGCATCATCCCTCTACCTCGTTCAAATTCGAATTTTGTGAAAGAAACCCCGCCCACATGATAACAAAACATAAAGGGTACATGATTTATACACGAACGAATCTCTCGCACACAAAAACATTAAAACCAAGGGGTATATCTCTTAGCGATTTTATAGATTTTAGCGATCATGTAACAATTTCTTAGTAATTGCGACGATTGTCCAGTAACAGGACGATTATCAAGGCATGTGAGCTTTTTACAAGAACTATTCAGTGATTTTCCCAGTGGCGGTTCGTGGTAAAATTTTGAAAGTGTTTTACAATTTTAAATATAAAAAATCCACTCTATCCTATGTTCTTTTCTGTTCATTTTATGATTTTATCATTAAAATTCTCTATTTCGGCGAGAAATGTTTTGATTTGATTTGCTACTCCATGAAACATTTGAATGATGATACAGCATGCTTATTTGAACCAGATTTACTAGAATTGGGTAGTACGGATCAGACTTTATGTATTTATTTATCCTGGAGTGCTTACTTCTCAATTTTTCAATCAATCACAAACGGTGCTCCCCAAACAATCTTCACAAGTCATAACGAATCTTTGTTTATACCGCAGTCCGCATATACCTAATTCCCAAATTTGGGAGCAAATTTGAATACCTGTAAGACCGACTTTTCTTCACTGTAATAATTTGCAGTTTCTTCTTGCAGTACCTTCACGTGATTCTTACAAGAACCTAATAAATCATTTGAAACTACTAATGTGTGTTGTAAGGTCAATATTCAAAACATGACGCTTTGTAATAAGTCATGTCAATTTGACATGCGAATTTTAAATTTCCCGGTTTTTATAATTTCGTGGATGTGAAATGACCAAAAATGCGCTTTCATCATGCATACATTTTACAACTTGATGTTAAAGATTATTTTTTGCGGAACATGCGCCCGTGATCTTGGGACACTTTCCAAAACGGGCATCTACGATTTTATTTAATCGATCATAACGCGAAAGCAAGAAAAATTTAAGATCTTTCAATCTACAATTCTGATTGTGTTCCGGTTGCGTTATCGTCGCTTTTCAAAGTACATTAAGAAAAAATAAAGGCGCATTTAAATAAATGATTAGATTATAAAATGCGTTTTGTTTGAAAAACAATTTAATGTACCTACGTTATCAGTTTAAATTTACTAAGAAGCGCACGTATATTTTTAGTTTCAACCTTTGACCCAAATGTACCCGCTGCCGGTACCTACCCAAATTTATTTTATGTCTTACTAACCTATCATAGCACATTTTATATCTGTGATACGCGGGCATAAAGTATCACTTTATGTCCTAGGGCATTAAGTATCACTGTAGTAACTCATTTATACTTAATGACAAAACAAACAAATATTTGCAGGTCATTGAAAATTAACGTCAATTATTAATTGTCAATACCTACTACATCACAAGATTGGCCTTATTTCGTATAGTTTCTGGAACTTCTTCCTCATTCACGATAGATTGAATTATTTAAAATTACGTTTGACGTTTGGATGGTTTCAATCACATTAAGAAATTCGAAGCACACACACACTCGATCAAACATAATGAATTATTTTGTAAACGAATTTTGACGAAGAAAACTATTTGTAAAACATAAAATTGTGTATGTACCACGGGCATAAACTGATGTTTATACTCTCGGGCGACTAAAAAGCTCTCGGGCCATAGGCCCTCGAGCTTTTTAACTCGTCGCCTTCGAGAATATAAACATCACTATTATGCCCTTAATACATAAATAACTATTACAAACCGCAACCGTTATTTTTACCGCCCCTTTTTACTGGACTATTTCGACTGTGCATTAATTGTGAATAGGAAGCGTTAACAAAGGTCCCTTTTTTTAACGATCAACATCGCGATGGTCAAAGGAGTAAAATAGGTGTGGGAAAATTTGTCAGGCTTTGTTATCCGCAGTAGGTTTTCGCATCCACCCGTAATTATTGTTTTAACACAAAATATGGCGTGTCACTAAATGCGAAAGGTACACCAGACTAGTATTACCGGTTTAACTTAAATGCCGCCATCGCAATCGGTAATAATGTTATTTAAATGTAAAAGTCGGCCACTTTTTGCACACCATTTTCTTTTTCGACAAATTACGGGCGCACGTTAATTCCACAAGCTGCTCTTTAGTTATGGAAGACAATAATTTTAATTACTTCGACCGATAAGCATTTAAGGTCGGCAAGTGACTTATCTTTAATATTGTTTTTATAACTACACGAAATGTCTTCAATGTCAACATTAATTGTCGTAACGATGCTTAATTTTACATACGATAATTACTATGTACGCATTGTGTACCTATACAGTGATATAGTTAGTTATACCTAAGTAGTTAACTTTTACGTAAATTTGAAATGATCACGTTTTGATGCTCATGGATTTGGATTTGGTAAGCGAAACATGTCTTTCAAAGAATTTTAACATTACGACAAACGAGACAAGATCCCTTGCTTCAGTTGGATCCCGTGTGTAACAGAATTAGGTTTGCTTTATTGTTCCTTTGACAAATTAAGCTATGAATGTGAAAATCTTATGCTTTGATAACTTCTGTTTCTGGTATAGTGAGAAACCGACATTTGCAAACAAATGTTATATGAGGTTCCATGTCACGAGCGTATTAATCGATTTCCAAATGTTATGGACTTTAATTGCGATCAATTCATGCAAAGCGACCGTCATCTTGTTTAAAAGAAAAAGAATGAAAATTAATTCGCACCACCAAAATACTTCCTAAAGAATATGAATAAGTACATACAAACTTGGTTGTCATTCCTTCGAACATTTGAGTAGTTTCTAACAGGGGCGGCGACTTATGGACCTTAAGGGTACTTTGCCCCCATGCAAATTATATTGCATCTTATATTCACAATCATTTTCCTAATCTAATATGGTACCGCGACAGAGATGTTGGACATAGATGCAAATATTTACGAGCGCATCGTGCTCCCATCGCCACGCATAGCCCATTTTTGCGGGACGCCGGTGTGGCTAACATGGCATGATTCACCGACTGACTTACTTCGGTGTACCATTACCTAGTTAAAAATTCAATAAAGTAGATCCTTATTTATGATCCCTATTCTTCACGAAAATTGCCCCGTACCCCCATGCAATCAATTAAAACCCGCCGCCCCTGGTTCCTAATTAATACATATTAATCACCCGATTGTTTCACTTGTGGACCAAAAAATACGACGAAATCCCTTTTTTGCGTAGTCACATATCTTTAATAGTAGATGATGCATCCCATGTTCATCATCGATGCCTCCTGAACTTTTCCCTCCATTCATTCTATTTTTTCCAAACCCGAAAATGTCTTGGGATTACCCAAAATTTCTCGATTACAAATTTTTTTTTTCAAAAAATGTTCTTGAGGCACTTTGAAATTTTTATTACTTTTAAATTCAATATTTCAGGAGCAGGAAAATAAGTACGCCAGACCATTTAGTGGGACCTTTCACCTTGCCCGGCGCCTTCAATGCTTAAAATGATCTAAAACGTCGACATTTGATGAAAAAAACCAAAACCAAAAAACGGTGACCGCAATAGCCACCTAGCTAGCGCTATAGGAAGCTACTATAGGAAGCTAAAAAGCGTGCGAGGACGTTAAACGGTGAGGAGCGTTCTTTGGTCTGAGCTAGGAAGCTTTTCTATCAAGAATTTAGCACATTTTTATTATTCTTTTTAAAAAGAGGGAATTTCTTGTAAAATGGTATGTTATTATAAAAGTGACTTTTTGGTACGAGCAACATCTTTTAAAGAATCTTTTTTATGAGTAGGTGGTTAACTGATCGGATTTGAAAAATAAAAACAATTCTGAAAACATAATGAACATTCCTTTCGACCTATCAAACAACATTTACTACCTCTTCCCATTTAAAATTTTTGGGGTGCAATTCATCCTCTTCTCAGGGTTAAAGTTATGTAAGTAGTATTACTTAATGTAGCAGGTAAGTAGAGAGAGGCAAATAATTGAATGTTTTTATTTTCTTTAGGTTATCGATTTCGAAGCTCACTTCATCATCAGACCTTGCGTCATTTAAATGCTGAATGAAAATGGGTACATCTGTATGAAGGATCGTATGAGTTACATTATAAACTGATGGTAGGTGTCAAAGTATACAAAGTTGGAAATTATTAAGGACGAGATCTAGTATGTATTACTTAATTTAGTGTCCCTCTCAAAACTAAAATTGACGTGTTCCAGCGTTCCTGGCAGAACTGTCGTTAAGTGGGCAAAATTGGCATTGACTGTTTTCAGTGGGCCACCCTGTAATTACTAATAAGGTTATAGTTTAAACTGTGTAGGTATCTATTTGTCTTGCTATACACGGTTATTCTATCTTTTCTGAGTTTTTTTATGTTAATTTAATTTTATTTTAGGATTTACTATTATTATTTATTACTCTGGATAATTATTGCTACTTTTGATAATGTTTGCTATTTTTGTTTTTTTTTCTCATCGTTTATTATGGTACCTAGCTATGTCATTTTTCTACATTGTCTTAGAATTGGCGTGTTTTGCTGTTAGATAATAAATTAATTATTATTATTATTAACTTATTGTATATTCAGTAACCTTCGGAAGCATGCGTTCAACCCTCAGTTCAACTATTCCCTAAGGCCTAAACCTAAAGTTTTATCGCAATCGGATGAACGGTTTAAGCAGCCATAAGAGATGTAATACAGACACACAAACATTCTTATCGAAGTTACTCAAATTTTCAAAACATTTTGGGATTTCCTTTTCGACATGTAGATAGCCGGTATTCGTCGTGGGACATCCTGCTGCCTGCATAATGAACAATGAGACGGGGAGATGCGTCGTCAGAAATCACGCTGAACACGCTCTACGGTTGGCCCGACGTCAAATGCCAGAGAGCCTGTTGTGCCACCATAGTTGCTCATTTCAGCTGGCGGATTGAATGAAGAAACTTGATTGGTTAAAATCTCCGATTAAAATTGGAAAAAAATTACTCGCTCGAGTTCTTTAATTATCCCCGATTATCCCTAAACTAAACTAGCGTGGTACAATCGGCCCATAGCGTTGAGATTTTGAATATTCAAATATTTAGCATCCTCGAATTACTCAAATTTTCGGAAATCCCCGTGTGGTTGGGCTACCTACAAATACATGCAATGCAATAATTGTTTGAAGTCGCTTGGTATAGCCTCCTAAAATAAATCACATGAATCTTTACGAGTGTGGCTGTGGTAGTTCTATACCTATAGGGTGACTGTGTAGTCGGGAAATGGTTTAGTGAAGAGGTCTTAAAAACGTAGTTTTGCGGTCTGAGAAATAGTAATCTTGATTGAAAATCTGCTTCCCATTTGATTAAACAAGCTCAAGTTCGGTCAGGGATGGATTTAATCTCGAATTTAATTGACAATCATTACATTTAGATTGAATCTTCAAAAGCTTGCAAAGTAGGTAGTGTTGTAAATATACGATCACTTAAAAAATATTATTAACAGTTCAGCAGTTTCAACAAAGAAATGATTTTAAAATTGACGAAGCTTGTAATAGAAAAAAATAATCTGATAGTCTTTTTTGCCAGTGGTTTATTCCCTTGTGTCCCATTTTACCTTCTCAGTATAATCATTTGGCAGATTGATATTTCCATAAATAAGTTTACCGCGGTTTACACCCACCATTTGATCACTCGTCTAAATCTGGAAGATTTGATTTTTTTGCAAAAATCATGAATACAATTCAACTAAAGTCGTAAGTATATAAGTAAGTATCTTACCCAAGATTGATTCGAAACGGTTCCTCATATTATTATTATGACATATTTATACTATTATTAGTATTGTCCACTGTAATGAGAGTGAAAGTATAAAACACAAGAGGGGAAATAATCTGCGACAAACAAGGGATGTCAATGTGTCATATGGAAAAGTGGTAAATAAAACGATGCACAGGGGGGCGAGGGGCTCTGAAAAAGTGCAATATTGCGAAGGAGTGTAATGGGCGTTTCTACTGAATAAATTTACATTTTTTTAAAAATGCATTAAGTGCAATTAGGTACATACGGTATTTAAAATATTTCCGTCAATAAGTTGGCATTAACATATTCCTGTAGAATTTGACACACGATCATAATATAATTTTGTGCAAGCTTGCAAACGTGCAGCCAATTAATGCAGAAATAAGGTAATTTCAATTTTTCGCCGGCCCTGCAGACCATAACGGATTACAATTAGGAGGCATTTGTGGTCGCGGCTGGGGGCAGGCAATTTAGGTAGAGGGCAGTTTTTTCTGGCACGTCGTTCGCTTATTTATTAACGATTATCGGCAATCGCAAAGACTATGCGTAATAAACAAACGACGTTCGATACGGAAAATCGTGAGAAAACTTAGTAAATAAAAACAAGATTCCTGGTATTATTAAGCAATCTCGATATTTTTATGTCATTGGGTTATTCCCAGGTAGGTAACCTATGCGTCCACAAATCCGACTGAACAAACAGGTTTTTCGTTCGAATACTATCACACCTAATTATTAGGGATGTGTAACGCTTCTTACAATTGTCGGTATAAAAAAAGAAACCCCTAAAAACGAAGACTATTACTTTCAAAATCACTTGCAACGAGCAGCACTCACAACCATGTATGGCAACAACTTTGAATGACTCAAACACGACCTATTAATGAAATGAAACTTTTCCAATTACTTTTGATAATGCGATCCAATATCACCAACTCAGAAAACTAATTTTTATTCAATAAAAACAATAAATAACCTGTTAAAAAGTATTCAATATGTTGACGTGGCGAGCACTTTTAAAGGCGATTTTTTTTTTCGTTGCAACAAGATTTTACGAAAACAAAATTACGTACCGGTAGGAAAAAGGTGCATAATTTTAATTAAGTTATTGCGTGACAATAAAAAATCAATCGCAATGAGCTAAGAAGAGATTCAAAATATGGCGACTTGAAAATGAGAAAGCTTAAAACTGTCAAATGAAGGAATTCAAAAGAAGTTTTCGACTCACCTGATTTTTAATATAGTCCTCAATTGCACGTAGAGCCGAATCGGTTAATTTCACAAAAATTAAGTCTTTATTTCCACCAAAATTTTCTTGCGATGACAAACCATACTTAACACCTGGACAGAGCGCCGCCATTTCTGTCGACTCTGTCGAACTTTCCAACTCCGACCAGCTGACGTTAGGTAGTCAAAATAAAACCTACATTCATAATCACTTCAGATTTACTTGTGAAAAAACCTTACTTACTCTACCTTACCAAATAAAAACACGATATATGCCAATTTTCTAAAATGCCATTTACTGTAGTTTCTCTAAATCAGTTCGTAAAATACGCAATTGAATTTGAATTGCTATGTAAGTACAAATTGCACTGGCAGGTGGCACCACTTCCTTGGGAAATACACCAATTTTTTTAAAAATAATTTTCAAATTAATTAGACTTAACTAAACCTTAAATCTATAATTTCCTATAATTAAAATGGACCTATAAACAAAATAATACTCGTTTTTCTCGATATTATTTATATATGATTTACTTTATCTTATCAGAAAATATATCTTATCAGTCACACAACAAATCTAGTTAAATCGTGAACATACCCTTGTAGATGAACGAAGCGTGTATTGTATTGCTGACCACGAAACTCGCTACATTTGTGTTCACGACCTTTACACCGGTTCTCACAGTACAGTACAGTGACAAAACGTCTCGCAAGTCAATTCAAAGAATATGGTTTCGGCAAACAAATTCTAGAAACACTGTTGACTCTATTGAAGTCAATAATATGACGGTAAATCAATCCACAGATATATCCAATCATTTTAACGACTTTTTCTGTCACATAGCACAAACGCTAATAAATAATCAACAAAACAAAAACCGAAATTACATCCCAAAAATGAATAATAATGCCCATACATTCGTTTTGCTTCCATTTACCACTAGTGAATTATCAGCCTTTCAACTATCAGACATTCAGTCAGCACGAGCGGGATACCACCAGTCTGTCTCAATGACATTCAGATCTGGACTGCTTGAGAGTTGAGAGCCAATCTAAAACACTATAAAGGGGCACGAAAGCGCCAGCGGAGCGCACTTCCGTGCCAATACGCACATAAACGCGCTGCACCAAAAGCGACGCGGAACGGCACTCTGACATAATATATTATATTATCCTAATCTTCATTTAACAATTGTGTCCTCTAATGAAAAAGATGTGTTTATAATTTCCGGTTTATGAAAAGAATCAGAAAAAGGCCGCTTCGTTGCGCTGCCTATTGGTGCTCTTCCCACAAGTGTGCGCACTCTCATTTATGTTTTTAATAAAATCCGTTCCGCTTCGTTCTAGTCGCGTAGCGACAAAAAACGCGGCGTTCTCTACACCAATTGTTTCATATGCGAAAAAAACGCGTGCATAAAAGCGTCCTAACAAAAAATGTGTTTAGAGAACGCCGCGGTTTTTGTCTCGATGCATAAAAGCAGCATAATATTGTGGTCTTGCAACCATCCCTTAGTCGTTTTGGCCGTGTGACACGATGCTCCGTCTTGTTGAAAAACAAAGTACAAAGGTATAAAGAATATTATCTTAGGTAAGGATCTTAGATGATGGTAAGAATAGCTAATTCCTTATGCACCATAATAATAAATTGTCGTGTGAATTCTTAGATCATATATAGTGGATCTAAGTGTGAATTACAATTTTGTCCATTATGTTTAAAACGGTAAACTCTAATGCCATTTTATTTACAAACATGAATAGAGTTTGTCAAGAGCTGCTTGCAATTCCTCTAGATTGATGGTGCTGCTGACCTAAAATTTGAAGCGGGATTGTAGAAACGCAAGCAGGATACAGGTAGATGAATTAGACAAATCTACATTAACATTTTATTTACAGCGTATATATTAAGAACAAAACAAATAGAAAGGTAACTACTACTTTGAATTTTTCAACAAAAATGCCATACCATGATTTCGAAAATGTTTAGCGAGTTCCTGACCATCGTGAAACTGTTCTAAACAGACTCTGCACTGATTTTCTCCTACCGGAGTGTTAGACTCGCCTGGCGCTAAATGCATGACATCCTCCAATTCCTTTACTGCTTGTTTGTCAAAACACTCGTTTAACTCGAAATAACCATCAATATTCAGTATTTGATGATAATATAGCAAATGTTTTTCTAAAGAGGGTTTAACAACAAAACATTCACCACACTCCATACATTGATAAGCAGTACTGACACAACGATGTTGAACAATATGTCTGTGAAATTCGTTTCTATCTGTAGTACTGTACTTGCACAATTTACAATAGTACGTTCCATCAAATGGAATTGGTTCGTCCGGTTCTACAATAATAGTCTCATTGTCAACATTCGGAGACTTTTGTTTGCTATACGAAATTCCCCAGGGACGTCTCCGTTTTTTGCGATTGCTCTCAAGTTTAAATGAATCAACACTAACATGTTCAAGAGGTATGGCAGCTTTCATGTATCGGCAATAGTGATCAAAATGATACATAATTTCGTTAGAATGAATTATTTTTTCGCACAGAAGACATTTTTTCCAAACAGAGTTGTTAAATTGCGTTACAAATAAACCATATTTCTCTTTCCTTTTGAAAGGTTCCAGGCAATTCGGACAATGTGCTGGCATATTGTCGACATGCGGTGTTTGACCTTTTATTTGTGTATTACAATACGTACACGTTCCTAGAATGTGAAAACTGTACTTGCGTTTTTCTGGAAGTGGTTCTCGTGGCGATGGAATCTGTCCCGTGTGCTTAGAACAGCGCAGCAGGTGTGTAGCGTAGGTTGTAGTTGAACGAAAGTAACTGCGGCAATATTTACAGCAATATACATAAAGACATTGTTTATTGTTTGTAGCATGTTCGTAAATGTGAATGCCATAAGTGTTTTCTTGGAAATCCTCGTTACACACCGAACACGTATAAAGTTTAATAGGTGCATGAATTTTGTTATCATTGGCATGCACTGAAAAATCAGTTATGCTTGGGAAAAGAAGATCGCAGTCAAGACATTTTGTAAAGCATTTCATGTGTATAGAAAAGTGGGAGGTGAATGTTGCGACCTGTGCAAAAATTTTCCCACACTTTTTTCCGGGGCACCTCAATCGTACTTGCTTGTTTAAATGGAAACATAACTCGTCAAGGTGCGCATGCAGTAGCTCACTGTTTTTAAAGTCTTTACCACATTCAGGACATACAAATGGTGCTGCACTGTTGTGAATACGTTCGTGGGCTTTCAAAGAACAATCTGTTGGTGCGATATATTTGCAAATGCTACATCGTAATTCTTCTTGAAATGGCGTTTTTGTTTCGAGAAAGTGTTCACCCATGGATTTACCTTGCACTTGCTGTCTACACTCTGGACAGCAGGGATACTTGGAATAAGATTCTATAACGGTTTCTACGTTTGTTATAACCAAATTATCGCAACAATCAACCGGTTCCTCTTTAATTTCCACTGAGGATACTGCATTAGGCTCTTGTTCCAGAACTCTACCATTAATATCCAAACCATTGGGAACTGGAATGAAGCGATTGGAATCTGCATACACAAATTTACATTTGGGAATGTTGGAGCTTATTTGCTGCAACACTAATGAAACAGGGTCATTTGAATCTCTGGCAAATAAGAACAAAACTTCATTGGGGATCAAATTTATAATTGCTTGTCCCATTGTTTCGGGCATGGGGCTGTAAAAACGTGTATTAATGAATATCATTTCTCCTAAGTTGTCCTCTTGGACGTCGTAAAGCAACGGAATATTAGGTTCTGGTAAAAAACCCCCAAGTCCAAATGGTAATACAGCAACTTGAAGATTGTCCAAATTGATATGCCCAATTAAAAGGTTAAAATGCTGGCGGGCATGTAAAAGGAAGGAACAGGGATTGTAAAATGTTAGCTGCTGTGTGTCCGTGCACAATACACATTTATACTTCAAGATTAGTGCACGTCGGTTTATATGATCGATAAATGAGTATTTAGATCCAAACCTTAAATGAAAGTAATTAGATTAAATTTGTTAAGTATAGAATCTTACATATCTCTGCAAGCATAACATGGATAGACTTGAAGTCCTAACTGTGGTTTGAAAGAAATCCATTCAACGATTTTTTTGTCAAATAAAATGTCCCACTTGGCAAAATTTGCATTTCTGGCCGCCTAAAAAAATTTTATTCATAAAATCCACACAAAATCGCACTTTCTAATTACACATAAAACTTAAATATTTTAAAATAGCATCATACCTTTAGTTTGCACTATAATTATCATGTCGCACAAAAGAAATCTTTTTTCTTTCTAATTATTGACGACTCCTTAGACTTTAGGAGACACTAATCTATGTTTGCCTATTACAAGGAAACAGCAGATCTAAAAAAGGAGCAGAGCATCTCGGTGTGACCCTACGGTCAATCGTGCAAAGTACAAACCGAATAGGTAGAAGTGTTTGACAGTTATTGTGTTCAAGGACAGACACAAACCATCAGTTCCCCTATAAAGCTTGAATCGGTTTGCTCTGTTACTTAATAATCAGAAGTTTTACATAGATACTTATAAGCAAGAAATGGCACTAGCAATACTATTTTTATGTAACTTCGCATCATTTGACTGGTAACGTGATCTGCAGGAATGATTGCAGATAATTTAACAAATATGTTCTGGCCCCTGGGAACTTGAGGAGCAATTAATGTGGCCCTAAGGTTGAAAAGTTTGGAGACCCCTTAGTCTAAGGTGTAGGTGCACTTTTGACACCCAACTACTATCAAAGTAAAAGACATTTTGAATTAGCTATCGATAAATGCACAACATGGTTAAATTGAATGCCTCTGATAGGTTTCTTGTAACTTTCTTGTTTCTTGTACTAAACATTTAGAAATATTAACACTTACCATAGGCGGCAGTGTAACAGAATTGTCATTCGGCATCTCTTCCAAATGCTATGAGGCAATTAAATTAAACTCCGTCTCGTCTATATCATAAATTCCTTTTAAAAGATATCACAGTATATTAGGTTTACTTTATATCTTTCATGTTCCTACATATTCGAGCAAAGTGTATAGGTACATGCTAATATGCGCCAATTATCCAGTATCCACTCGTCACACCAACTCAACCAAAGGTTAGGGGGTGAGCATTCACTCTTCAAAGAACGTCCACGAGTACGACGTGTGTTTTGTGGACATAGGGCCATAAAGGTGCCATAGACATAATTATGAAGTGACACTCAGAGTAAGAAATTACTCTTGAGAAGTGACATATACTATAGCAGCTGTGGTGAATAAAATTAAAAAATATTTTCTGATGGAACAGCGTCTAAAACTAAAAGTAACTCTATTCAATAGCGCATGCGTAGCTTGTTCCAATTTGAAAAACCAAATGCTTATGACGCCCGTAGGTACCATGCGATCAAAAATGAGTTGGTATCGAGTCACCTTTGGAATTTTTGTTTACATGGGAAATCGTACTTAACAGTATGCCTTTTGAACCATATGCGCAAACTCAAGAGTTGTTGCTGCTTATTGCCAACAGACAATTGCTCCGTAGCATCGAGTATAGGTCATATCACTGTAGTGTACATACAGCCACAATACAACCTTCGGGGATGGCAAAGTCCCCCAATTGCACCGCGACTATGCCAGAAAACCCTATTTGGATTAAAAAATGGTCGACATATGCCACAACCTTCGATTACAAAGGCCACAACCGCTCAAAAAGACAAATTACCAATTTTCAAAAAATAGCACATGCGCCTTGCAAATGAGTCAGTTTTAGATTTACCTAAATTCCTACTTGCAGTTACAGGTTATAAAGAATCTACTAAACTAGCTTTTACTTAACAAAATTAAGAAATAAAAATGCAGATTCTTCATATTTGGCTATTTTTGATGTCAACTTCCCTTATATTTTGTAAAAAATTTAAGGAAGAAAACAAGCCGGAATGGGCGAAGAAGGACATACGAGATTATAGTGATGCCGATCTTGAACGGTTATTAGATCAATGGGAGGTAATACGAATATTGAAAATTATGTGTAATCCAACATTTATAGGAGGACGAAGAACCTCTGGAAGATGACGAGCTTCCCGAGCATTTAAAACCGCAGCCACAGATAGACCTAAGTAAACTTAATATGGAAGACCCTGAAAGTGTACTGTCTGCAACAAAAAAGGGACGTACTCTAATGACATTTGTTAGTGTTAGCGGAAGTCCATCACGGGAAGAAACTGAGCAACTAACAAAATTGTGGCAAACAAGCTTATGGAACAACCATATACAAGCAGAACGGTACCTATATGATATTGGATAATAATCTACATGCACTAATTACATTTTAGTTATTTGGTTGACGATAACCGTGCAATATTCTTATTTAAAGATGGGTCGCAGTCGTGGGTTGCTAAAGAATATTTAATTGAACAGGAAATGTGTGATAGTGTTACAATTGAAGGAAAGGTTTACCCAGGAAAATTCTCGAGCACAAAAGATGAATTATAAATTACATTTTGTACTCTTTCTAATTATACATTGTTAACAATTTTGATTTGCTGTACTGATCACGTCCGTATTTTGATTAACCTCTTTTTGTAATTCTTTTAGAATTGAAGCTAGAATTTCAGGGTGAAGACCCAATTCACACAACCGAATGCAAATTGTCAACGCTTCGGGATCCAAACCAGTACACAATAATCCTGACATTTCCAACAGAATTTGAAAAATCTCTTTTGCCTCAATTACTTGTGAATTTGCTAAATTCGGCATCTGAAACAATGAAATAGAAACAAACAGAATAATTTAAATAATTATTAACCCTCTTTTGATTTAAATAGAAATCGACTTCAGTTCATGTTTCTTATTTTACATAACCAAAACCAAACCAAAGTGTTGTCGTTGGACACTTGCAGATGTGTTGCACACTGACTCCCTCGGTACTGCGCAAACGCATACGCGCTAAAATTTGAATTTGCTTTAACGAACTGGAAATTAATAAAGCCTTCGGTCATCACTGTGAATTCCAGTTACATTATAGCCCCAACTTGAAAGCAACCGTCATGATCCTTTACAGCATAATATGGAATAAACAACAAGAATTGTAACGTTATTATTTATTATAATCAAAACCATTCTACCATCATGGTGTACGGAAAATAAATTAACATATTCTACCAGATAAGTCACTATAAACCCGCTATAATCTATTGTGCTCCATTATTTCCTATCTCGCGTTAACTTCTTAAGGCGCATATAGACTAGCACATTACTGGCGACAATCTCGCGAGAGAAACTTCCACATGTATTTACACTGTGAGCTAAGTGTCGCGATAAACTGTCGGGCAAGTTGGGTGAGCCATTGCTGTCGCAAGTTCTCACAAAACTGTTTACACCAGCAGCACAGCTCCCGCAAATGCCGTCAGTTGATACCTGGTGTATTATACACCATGGTTGATGCCTAGCAGCTGTTTTCGAAAACTTATCTCACGTTATGGATATGGCGCCAATAGGACATCTTTGTGTTACTGCGGCTGTAGTTTTATGCAATAATGTGAAACACAAAAGAAGTGTTAGGTGAGTGAATGGATTTTAAGAAGAGAAAAGTATGGGGCCTACCATAAATTGATTGATGAGCTGAGAATCAGAGAATCAATCCTAACAATTTAAAAATTTTATTCGTATGTCAGCGGTAGACCTTGAGGAACTTTTATTACAAAATTAGAAGCAGGACACTCTTTACGCGCCACAATATAATAAAACTCGCACGTTTACTCGCCAGAATATCGAAATGAAATGGAAAGTTTGCGAGAACTCGTTGAGCTGTACTTTTGCCTGTTTAGACTAGCTGGTAAGAATCCCTTTTTGTTCTGACTTTTTTTAAAGAACACTATTTCCGTTATTAGAAATTTCACCTTAAAAGTTAATTAAACACTGTGTTTTGAGTAGATTCAATTCGAATATTACATTTACAAATTCGTATTTTTCTCATGAAAGCAACGAGTTACAAATGAAAGGTACTCCTCACTTTCTGCTTGTGGACACATTAGTGATTTTAACTTTCACGATGTTGCCATCTTGAAAAAAAATTACTAAATTACAGGTATTGGTGTTGAAATGTTGAGGTAATCTCTTGTTTATATGATATCATATGGGCTTGGCTAGTTTCATGTAAATTCTGTGATGGTTTATTATTAAATAAAATAACAAAAAATGGGTCAGTAACACGGAAAGGTTAAGTAACATACGTACAGTAATGGAATTAATTTCAGTGGAAGTATTGGTCGAATATGACTATCTATCAAAGGAGCCTGATGAACTTACAATAAAGAAAGGGGATGTAATTAAGGATGTCTTAAAAAAATCTGGAGGATGGTGGGAGGGTGTTCTAAATGATAAAAGAGGGATGTTTCCTGATAATTTTGTAAGAGTGATCGATAAGGATAGTCAGGTTACTTTGAGGAGTAAGCGTGATGTGACCAGAATACGACAGTGCCGTGTTGTGTTTAGCTATAAGCAGGAAAATCAGGATGAACTCAATTTAAGTATAGGGGATGTTATTACAATCTTAGGGGAGGAGGAGGAAGGATGGTGGCGAGGTACACTTAATGGAAGAGAGGGTGTTTTTCCCTCCAATTTCGTTGAGGAAATTAAATCGAAACCGGGCAGTAAAGAGGATTTAAGTAATGTAGACGAAGTTAAAAGTCCATTACTACCTCCAAAACCTGGTAATTTCCGTACAGAATTGTTAAATATTGTGTTAATTCTTACTTTTTCAGTTAAGACACTGTGCCAAGTGAAATATTCGTACAAAGCTCAAAATGATGATGAGTTAACCTTAAAAGAGGATGATATAATTACACTTATAAGTAGCGATGGTCAAGATCCCGGTTGGTGGAAAGGCGAGCTACAGGGACGCGTCGGTGTGTTTCCTGATAATTTTGTAGTCATCCTCTCAGACCAAGATGATAAGAAAACTAAGTTACCAGAACCAACTGTTTTAAAACAACCCCTGTCGCCACAGAGAAAGTCGTTGGAGGAAAAACTGGATGCAGAAGTTTCCAAAGTATCGCCGCCGATACCAAGCAAGAAACCATCCATTCCAATTAAGAAATCTCCATCTAGTTCAAGTTCTCAAGGAGGTCTATTGGCTGGATTACGTAAAAAAATTGTAGATGTCGTAGATGGTGCATCAGGGAGCAAAAGCCAGCCTATACTACTTACAAAAGCAAGTGATCTTAAAGTAGATAATAAAGTAGAAATGATACAAGAAAATGCATTCGATCAAGTGGAAAGAACATCTTTGCTTTCGGATGTTCGAGCAACAAGAGTTAAAGCACCAGGTAATAAAATTAGAATCTCGTTCTATCCAAATTAGATAGTGTTGAAGTATTCGAATTCGTTAAACAATTGAATGTGGGACAACATTTTTAGAATAGCACTGTGCAAGTTAACATTTAAATTTTGAAGTAATGGGCGATCAAAAATGAGTTGCTGTTGAGTCCCCTATGACAGTTCAAGTTAAGTATGTTTTCTCATGTAAACAAAAATTCCAAAGGTGACTCGACAGCAACTCATTTTTGATCGCACAGTATAAGAGGAGTATTTTGAGAGAGAATGACAAGATGCTGAACATGCAAACTGCACATTGACACTGTTTTGTCATCATAGAGGGAGAGCTGGCTACGAAAATAAACAATGATAATGTTCACTGACAATGGTTATATAAATATCTTCCCTATCTGTTGAGAATCCTGTAGCGACCCAACCAAAAGTCGTTCTCGGGGAGGGAAGAGAAGGACAACTGTAAAATAGGCTAGTCTTCCCATTAACATCCCACAAAATTGCATACAGATGTCTGACGTTTTCCAAAACAAAACAATGCTCAAGGGGTCTTTATACATAAATAATTAATCGTAAATACTTGACACTTTTATTCAAAATGTCCTATTCTTAATTCCAGTGCTGAACAGTGCAGGTACGATACCGGGGGGGGGGGGGGGGCTCTTAACGAGCCACTTCAAATGGTCTTCATACATGTAATTGCAATCAAATCAAGTGAAAGATTACAATTAACATGGGAAAAACGTTTCTTGCAGGTCGTTGCATGACCTGAATAAGGGTGTTAAAGGGTTTATAATGACACCAATCAAAAGAAGATTTTTTTTCTCATCGAATGATATACGAATTAGTTTATTTTCAGGTGTATATATCCAATTAGCAAAATCATGTTAAGCCATTGAAATTTCCTAAAGAATTGAAATAGGTTTTTACACAGACAAAATGGGACGCTCATTAAAATGTACAGAAAACAAATATCGCGTACTAGAGTAAATATTTCCGCTGTAAAAGTTGTTTTTTATAAATACTTTTTTCCTCAGTGAACCACATTTTACAAAAAAATTAATGCCACATGATTTTGATAAGTGGATTTATTGCCAAATTTTTATAAAAAAAATGTGAGAAATACACCTGAAAATGAACTAATTCGTATATCATTAGACGAGGAATAAATCTTCTTTCTATTGGTGTTATTACAAACCCTCTAAGTTAACATGGGGAGCAACTATCTACAAAAAACCTTTTTCCCATGTTAATGCCCTATGTTTGGTTTGGGAATATTCACCCAGTATAGGTACTTACTTACTTATAAGTTTGCTGCTATTTAGGCTACGAAAGATTTTTGCAGTGTCTAGCATAGGTATACTTCTATAGAGACCATAACAAACATTTTCTGCAAATAAACCAATGTTTCTTCTTTATTTTTTTATCGAGAATGAACACATAGAAGGATGAAACTAATGGTATTACTTAGATTTTTGGAACTTTTGTATATATGAAAAAAAAATTTATTTTGCTGCTTTGTTGGTTTTGGGACATAAATTATTTGCCCAGATTCTTGCTCATTTTCTAAACTGTAATATACAAAATATAGAACATGTACCATATCTTCTGCAGCTTGGTCATTTTTGAGCATTCTTTTCAAATTTTGACACAGCGTAAGGATGTGAATCGGACTCAAAAACTATCAAAAGAACATAAAGAGAATACCAGAAAATATTATCATGGTTCAAAAACCAGAGAATGATCAACATGATTGATTGACGAGTCTCACTAGTAGAAGTTTTGTGTTTAAATTATTGTAACACGAATTGAACTATTGCTAGTAATTTTTGGTATGCCCTGGTATTCCTTTGGTAATGCTAATCTTCTTTAAGTGTACCATTTTACACATTTGCTACTGACTCTATTTGCGTTATTCAAAGCATGAAATGTTTTATTATTCACTTTTGTTTTTAAGAAAATCTAATATATGAATTAAAAAGTACATTTATGACTCAGGACGAAGGCCACCAAGTGTCATCTTTAAGGAAGCGGAAACGGGAATAGTAAATGGAAACATAGATCACATCGCATTAGATAGTTTACCAGAACATCACGCACATTTTCGCTCAAACGAAACTTCCCACGAACACTTGGAAACCGAAGTTAAACCGAAAGTTCGTGAATGGGAGAAACATAAAGCTCCGTGGCTTGAAGAAATGAAGCTGAATCAAGCGAAACGAACCTCCACATCACCGGGACCTGAACAAACAAGATCAAAGCTAACGCCCACCGCCGATAAAAGTGTTTCCCCCGAAGTAGAGGAAATCAAATCAAGCAAGGTATCACCATTTGACAAACCTTCGGGTAGCTCAATTGATATGTCAAAATCAATGTCCGCAATTACCAACAGGTCAAAAACGCCTCCAAACGAATTAGAAAAGAATGCTGTAATTTTAAGAAGTAGACCCGCGCAGTTGTTTCCTCAAATCACCCAAAGACCACAAACAGTTTCCGAACCTCCCAAGCCAAAAATTTCACCTTCGTTGCACAATAATCATAACAAACCTAAAGTTTCTGAGGACAAGACTCCAGATTCTAAACTTGATGTTCCCGAAATTCCACCAAAACAATTCACAGAATTATTGCAAAGGATAGAGAAATTAGAGACATTAGTCCATCAACAAAATCAATCTCATAAACTGGCAATCGAAGAACTTAAGGGTAAGCTGCAGGTGGAAACGGATATGAGGCGATTACTACAGGCGGAATTAGATAAAGTATCTCAGTGCGTAATGCAGGTGTGACGCAGTTACTTCGTATATAGACGAAATCTCAAGTTGTTTGTTATAGTCACCGTAGGTAGCACGTAAGAAAAGCGTTGAACGCTAATGCTGTTGATTTGCGGCTGTTGTAAATAATTGTTTTCATCATCTATCTAAGCCAACCATAACGACTGATGTAATTCTTTTAGTTGAAATTGTTTAATTGGGGGGGGGGGGTCTTTTATGTGCTCTTTTTTAACGTATATATGGGCTGGTCCTTCATTTCACATTTACTACCCTTGCAACTATTTATTAATTTTGGAGATTCATATTATAATTTCAAAGTTACGTGATATTTTCAACATACATTCACTATTGTGGCAAAAAACAGAAATTTCCAAAGTTTGTCTTCAGTATTATTTTTAGATTATTATAGCTCAAATCTACTTTAATTTGTGCAGATTTTCCATTTTACCGAAACATAAAGCCAAACACTTCTCTAAGTTACCAACCAAGTTTATTGCATTTAATTTCAGATTTCTACCCAAAGTACCTTTTACAAACACTTTTAATGTTTGCGTATAAATGGCAGCGATTCACATGGTGTATGTTAAGTTTGTGTGATTAATTTTAATTAACATTCCATTTTGTAATTGCTCATTAGTTAATAAGCACAATTTTTTAGAATTGTTTAACTACCTACAACGAAACATTAATTTTTATATTTATTTATTAAATTTTTTTTATACATATCCATATTTATTAAATAGTTATACTAGTATAACACTATTGCTTTGATTGTCAATTTGGTCATCAATTAGAAATAGGAGCTGATGAACCATTCTAAGCAATTTGTGATGCATATTTTTTACAATAACTAAAGCTACTATTTGATCGTTGTTAGTGATTAGCATATAAATAATATATTGAAAGTTTTTATATATATTTTTAACGAATTTTACTGCAACTGTATCTATAAAAACAATTACATTATAATATAACAAATTCTGTAATCTGTGTATAATGTAACATTCCATAAAATTAGCCTGTATTGTACATAAATAAAGTGGGAACTTAAACATGTTGTACTTAGCATTTTTGTTAATGTATAATATATAAATTACAGTAAAATATATTTCTTCTATATTGAGTGTTTTAATGAAATCGGTTTGATTAACAAGGTACTATTAAATACAAATAATATGGTAGTGTAGGACTCCCTTCTCACAAGGCGTAATCGCCATAACTTTGTAGTTTAATATTACGTTTAAACACCGATTTACGTATGATGAACCGAAACGAACTATGTGCCAGAATTGTTCCCGTCTTTTATTTGACTTTTTTTAAGTTTATTTTAATATCGCACTTCGTAAATTAGCAGCAAACCGAAAAAATACAACACGCTCGGAACGGCAGCATCGACTAGTTATTCCCGGAATTCTAAAGCGATGGCAAATTTACTTCCCAAGATCTAAAAACTGTTGCTATGCAAAACGTTTTCACACAGAAATGGCGAAAATAACTACTCTGTTTCCCCTTTATTGGTATACATACATCCATCATACGGGCGAATGTCCGTGTGTCATTTAATCCAAAACGTAAACAAAGCAATTTCATGGAACCAAAATACGACCCAAACAAACGAAAGTTGCCCTAAATCGTGAAATGTGGAACTTTCCCATATTCCCGTGAGGTCCGGGCGTAAGGCCCCTCCCCAAAACAAATTCAGTACATCAATCGTTGGATGTTTGTGCACTTTTGTGACTCCCGGTACTTCGTTCTTGTTTAAAAACATTCAGTCCTAAGGGCACCCATGACAATTTATTATAAAAGACCATCAAACCTTCCTTTCCCTCTCTTTCCCTTTCCCTCAAAACGTGCTGCCTTAAAAAGTTGAATTTTCCTTTTGTAATGCGAGTATTTTGTGGAGAAAAGGTCAAGGCGAAAGCGACGTAAATTCTGGAAAAAGCATGTCATAGTGCTTCCAGTAACTTTATTAATTCGAGTGCGTTAAAGCAAATTCAAATTTAAGCGCTCTTGCGTTTGCGCAGTACCGAGGGAGTTAATGTGCAACACATCTGCAAGTGTGAAAGAAGTGTAAGCAGAGCGTACTGATAAAAGAAGAGTGAAAGGAAGAGGTGCGAACGCATAACGATCAAACAAGTTAAAGAGTAATCGTAAACGATTTACATAAAGCGCATTTCCACTTGCATTCATTTCCCATTTGTAAGATGCAACTTCTGTTAAAATCGTAAAAATCCGCCCACAAATATGAAAGATAGCGTTGCACATGGGCAATCCATTGTTGACGTGCTACTTCAATTTCAGTTTATGAGAAGAATTTCATTTCAATGCTTTTCTAAATAAGAAAGTTGGAACTGCGCATGCGCAAACCTAAATTTTAAAACTAATGTTAGATTTTCCTTTGTTCCAAGCGCCTAAGTATCAAATTTCACTTAAATAGTTCCATAGATAAAAAAGTTGGCACTGCGCATGCGCAAAACCAAATTTTGAAATTGGCGTTTGATTTTCCTTTATCCCAAGTGCCTATGTATCAAATTTCGTTTAAATTCTTCCATAAATAAAAAAGTTGGCACTGCGCATGCGCAAAACCAAATTTTGAAATTGGCGTTTGATTTTCCTTTATCCCAAGTGCCTATGTATCAAATTTCGTTTAAATTCTTCCATAAATAAAAAAGTTGGCACTGCGCATGCGCAAAACCAAATTTTGAAATTGGCGTTTGATTTTCCTTTATCCCAAGTGCCTATGTATCAAATTTCGTTTAAATTCTTCCATAAATAAAAAAGTTGGCACTGCGCATGCGCAAAACCAAATTTTGAAATTGGCGTTTGATTTTCCTTTATCCCAAGTGCCTATGTATCAAATTTCGTTTAAATTCTTCCATAAATAAAAAAGTTGGCACTGCGCATGCGCAAAACCAAATTTTGAAATTGGCGTTTGATTTTCCTTTATTCCAAGTGCCTATGTATCAAATTTCATTCAAATACTTTTATAAGTAAAAAAGTTTGCAATTCGGTTTATAAATGGTCGAGATGCGAAAAGGGCACTGTGAATTTTGAATCGATTCGATTCAACTTTTGGCATTGCGTATTATATGGCTAAAGCTATGCCCATATTGAATTTCATGCAATTCAGTTCATAACTAACGGAGATGTAAAAGCGATCGAACATTTCTAAACAAAGTTATCGTTCACACGGACAGATAGATGGACAGACAGACAAAGGAACAGACGGAGAGACCAACCGGCAGGCGACAGATAGCAATGCAAAATTATAAACGATCTCTAGGATCGTTAATAAACGGCAAAAGTGTAAAATTATGGAACATGTAAAAAACGGTTTTTTGTTTTTTTTACAATAACTTTTTTTGTAAGCGGTACAGAAAAAATTCCTTCCTTGGTACAAGACTCGACACCATAACGAACCAAATAGCGAAAAAAGTAGAACAATAGCTCTTAAGATAAAAAACTAGTAGCGTCGCAAAGTTAGCGGACGGACGGACGGACGGACGGACGGACGGACAAAGTGGCCACAATAGCGCATTTTTTTTTTATTTTTGTGGAAATGCGCTAAAAAGGATGCGTGACAAACAGAAGCGCAAAGAAAGTATAAAAGAAGCGTTAACGAGGTGGACAAAAAGCAAGCATGAAGGCAAGAAGTGTGAAAAAGTTGTGCAAGAGGGACGTGAAGAAGACATAAAGAATACACAAAAACGCGTAGCAGATTTGAAGGTGTGATGGTAAAAGATTTGTAGGAAAGAGGTAGAACGTAGAAGTCTTGAATGAGGTGCGTAAAATGAAGCGACACATAAATAATAAGAAAAGAAGGCATCAATAAGCTAGCGGGCGTAAAGGAAAGAAGTCTAAGGGAAATAAGTAGGTAGTTATAGTCAGAAAAAGCCCGAAAGAACATAAACGAATGAGTTAATATACTCATATGGAAGAGATGTGACAGGTAAAAGGTACGAAAAGAAGGAGCATGATCCTATGAGAAACGAAAAAAAAGGTAATGCGGAATTCGTAAAACGGCATCAACAAAAGAAATAGATCGGTGCGAAGAGTTTTGTTCATCTACAAACTCATTCAAGAGGCAGACTTAAGCTAATATATCGATTTGTCCGAAAGAGAAATAAAAAATATCTCTCCTTTCTTGACTTACCGTTACCGTTATTAAAACACATTCGGGCAGACAGACAGTAAGCACGATTTCTTGATGTTTTCCAATTAATTTATAGAAAGTATATGCGAACCTGGAGTTTCATTAAAAGTCTATTCTTCTACATAATGACATTATCAATCGCGCAACCCATTACTTCGAAAGCACTTTCTGACATAAATTTCAAAAGCGAAACTGAATGCATTTACTTTGGGAACGATTTTTTATGTCAGACACACAGCGATATATTAAATTACTTGTGGCAGAAGAGCACCTTTGATCTTTTTGTTTGAAATGCCAGTCATTAGATGTAGGTACAACATAGGTACTTCGGGTAGCCGTAGTGGATAATGCAAAACGTAATGTAAAGGTAAATGGCTTTCCTTCGACTGCACCGGGTTACTACAATAAGTGGATTGATACAAAAGTGGCGCCATGACGTAGGTATTCATAATTTAGTTATGTAATGTAATTCGATAAGTGAAACAAACGCCCACCTGTTACTCTAATCAGGAATCTCCGTGACGTACTATGGAATCTGGACAAAGATGCTGGGTGTTGCTATGGAAACGATATAACCTATTTCGAATATTTTGCAGTGGGGGCATTGGAACACGTCGAGTTCCCCATTAGCACAGTTTTCCGTGTTTCGGGTTTCTGTAAAGACTTACCTATTTCACTGATAGTATGATTTATGAACAATTCGGCATTGTTTTTTCATGTGTATAGTGATCTAGCATGATTTTTTTAATGCGTAATTCAATTTCCGTATTTTCAATCATCAGATCACTTCATAAAAAGTATAAAATATGATAATAGCTTATATTCGCAACGGAATCAGAAACCCTTTCCGAAACTTGATCAGATAGCTCAATTTTTATATACATTGTGTAACTTCGTATCTCACGGTTTTAATTACACGAACGTTAAATCCTTAATTGAATTTGTCAATAGATATCTAGATATGATTCTACTTAATTATGCTTCCTTCGATGTTATCACGTTGCCTTAAAAAGTGATCGTACCGATATACCTACGTATATGTGAGTGGCCGTCTTCCTAATGGAAATGGGAAATGAAAAATTTATCCATAGACGATTTATGCGACACTGATACTTGCAGTAAGAGACATTTTACCCAAATCCTTTCTTCGGAATGTGTATTTGAAATTTCCCAAAATTATGAGGTGTCAAAAAACATACGAGAATTACCTTTAGAAAGCCTAATAGCAGTAGATGCCAGTATAGCGATTCCCGATTAGTGATTTATTAAATTACGAAACTGTACAAAATTTATGTTATCATTGAAGTTAGTGACTTCAAGTGCCTTTCTTTTCGAAACTTCCACTTTTAGCTATTCCACTGTTGCTTTGATCGTAGATATCTACTACCTACTCGTACCTACTAAATGTTATCTAAATAGAATAGTTTTAATTACTTATTTGTTTTATTTACGTATCGGCACGCTATACCTATACCTATCATCCCATTTTAATTCAATTGTTAGTTTAAGGAACCTCGCCAGTAGATAATGTATCATTTTCCGGACTTTTATGTAAATAACTATTATGTGGAGGCGGGTCTTTATTTAGTCGTCGAACAAAGTTGCCAGCGGGCTGTCCCAATAGTAAGACAGACCATATGAAATGTAACATCTCCTCCAAATAAAATATGCTATTTTTTCTTCAAACTTACCAGCAAATTTACCCAAAAAATTAATTTTAATGATAGGCTTTTTATGGGGATTCTCAATTAGAATTGCTTGAAATCCCGTCACCTCTCTCGGCCGAAACATCTCGTCAACTTTTACCCTCTTTTCTTCATAATGTAATGATAATAATAGGTGGATATTCTCCGCTTCATTAATAGTTTTTCGAGTTAGGTATTCTGAAAAAATGCAATTTTTTGAGATTATGTTTTTCCTGAAATTTTCGGGTACTTATATTACGTAACTATAGCTCTTTTCGCTTGAAGCTCAAATTGTTTCAACACTAATATAAGTACTTTAAACCGGTCAAACTTCAATGTGCATATTGCAAGTAGGAACCTATATATGTATACATAAATAAAGCGGTATGATTATTTTCAATGCGAGGTGGTAGGTAGCTAATTAGGGGGTGATTTTCTCATTTTTTGGTCGCCGAAAAAATGGGAACCAACATTATTGATTGTTTGATTGATTTTTCTATAAAACACTTACTTTTTCAATTATTCGCGAATAACCGTCTGGAAATATGGGTTTTCTGGTTGAAAAATTCATAACTTTACTCGCGAATGGCTCCAAAAGTATCGACTTTCACAGAAAAGTTTATAAAACAAAAATTACTTAGAATTAGGTCATCTATTCATTCACAGACTAATTTTCAATGAAACATTTTTCTTTTCACACCCGAGACGAGATGGTATGCCATTAAGGATAACACTCAACCTCGGTACAGGGTCAACTTTGAATTTGAATAAGAGGTTGTGCACAACCTATATAACCAAATTTTTATGAAAATCGGTGCTGATTATACGGAAAACGGTCATTGACAACTGACAAAGTACCTATATGGACAAAAAAGCAATCCTAGGAGCAAAATTCCATGGGAATATGAACAGCTGTTATTCTGTTAAAGAATTTTGAAAGTGCCATTATTCTTTTCTATGGTTTAACTGATTGAAATAATATGGTGCTACAAAGTCGATACCTATATACGTCTTCCGCGATAAATCGAATTAAGTTATAATCCTCGATATTGCAATCAAATAAGTAAACCAGGTTGTCATAAACTTGCAAAATTCCTGTATAGCTAATTTGTTTTTCTAGCCCGTTTTTATTCGCTTTAACGTTATCAACATCCAATTAACAACACTATCTTCGGCATTATGGTTGAAACAGGACGCCAATTTAATCAGTAAGATTAAAATAAGCAGGTTATGAGCCTTTTAGGAACTGGCATACATTTTGCTTCATTAGCATGTAGATAATCGTCGAAAACACAACCTACCTAGCAATAACAGCTCGCCTCTTGTTTTCTTTTAAAGTGAATGAGTGTGTGCTTCCAACATCAAAATGTCGGAATGTTGTCCAGATCCCGCCTGTTCCCACGCGTTGTATTCGGCCGTTCAAAAGGAGACCGGCCATCTTACACCTCAAGAGAGAGAAATCATCCTGAACGTGTTGGGTCGAGATGAAATGATACGAAGAGAAGAAGAGCAACGTTTGATGTAAGTTACCAAATTTGTTTGACAATAAGACTATGAAAATTGGCATTTTCCATATGTTTCCTGTTAATCCAAGGTCGCTAATTGTGCCTAGCAAAGCGGATATGCCGCCTTTCCGCTCGAATTGCCCACAAACCTTTTTTATATACCTAGTTGATCGTTTTATCAACCGCATTTTTTTGTCGTTCAGAAATTAACGCCAAAAAATTTTTCCTTTCTTTGGTTCCTATTAATAACCTTCGCAAATTTTCTGAGATTTGCTGATCGGGTAGCCTAATTTGACAAAAATTTGGATGAACCAGTTTTTGTTGTGGATCTAATTTCAATTGTTGACATAATTTATTATAGAGTAGGATCATCTATGCTATGCCCAAAAGACAATAGAAGATAGTGAAAACGTTTACAACTACGAACAACACGTTGCAGATTTGTTAATTTGGAAAGGGTTAAGGGTATCTCAAAGCGATGACATATTACTCAACAAGAAACTGCTCTATTTAGATTGAATTGTGAAAAATGACACATCGTTTGAAGAAATTTTTCGCTCTGTTACTATTGAACACATATTTGGGGTAAAAAACGAGACTTTCTGAATAGAGGTATGTTGTGAATATGATATAATGAAGTAAATTTAATTAGTAGGTACATATTCAATAAAATATGGCTAAGGGCATAATAACCTCGGCATGAAACAACAGACATACGATTGTTTTAATTATATTGTTTTTTACAGTAGTCTCCCCTCCCGTAATACCGCTGGAAAAACATTCCTTCGTTTTTGCAAAAAAAATCGTCAAAAGCAGCTTTTAAGCGATCATCCGAGTCAAAACGGCTGTCCCGAAGGTGTTTATTTAACAATTCAAACAGATGTAAATCGGAAAGCGCCAAATCCGAACTCCAAGCAGGATGCCTTCGTTTTGGTAAATCCACAGTTGCGGCACAGCTTACTTAGTAAGCTGTGGTTGCGGTGTCATGCTGCAGCAGATATATTTGCCATAGACCTCTGCAATTATAGTAATCCTGGTTTTCATGTATTCCATTAGATGAACATCCTCCATATCCCAAAAAAACTGTTGCCATCAGCTGTCCAGCAGATCATTGGGTGCGTGCCTTTTTTGAAGGAGGAGAACGTTATTTGTGGATCGATTGTCTGGATTCCAACTTCGTTTCTAATGTTCAAATGATCGTGAATTATGGTTAACGGCGTTAACTTAACGCGCTAGGTTCGGATAATCTCATTGTCATACCGTCATACGCCGGTTTAAAAATCATATACATAGATAATTCTAAGTACATTTACTCTTTCTATTTCAATGTGAACAATTAATCTATTAATAATAATCATTAATTATATAAACTGCTTCAGTACGTTTAAAAACGGAAAACTGGTGTTTAGGAAACTAGCGGTTATGTGCCCATCCGATTTTAACATTTTAAAAGATGCAACCCATCGTCTTCCAAGACTCAGCAGCTCGCAGCTGAGTCATATCTAATTAGGGACAATGCAATACTGACGTCACTCTCCAATTTTCGATCCAGCTTTGTGCTTGTGGTGGGTGTAACAAATGCACGTTATTGCCCTGTTATGACTTCTTGAGTCAGCTTTACAATCGAATTAATCTACATTTTAGATTGTGTAAGTAATTAACATCTTTGTGGCAATTGATCAAGTTGGCTAGATCTAGAAGTCTTCAAAAAAAGGGCCCTAAAGTACTATTTTTAATCGGAGTAACTTTTTGTGGTCAATTGCGATGTTATCTACAATTTAAACAACGTTAAGGTGGTGGTATCGCCTGTAAGATCGAGGTACGTTGTAAACCTGTCTTAAAAGTTGAATAACTGTCACGAGGCGCTTGCGCGCCTTTTCGTACCTTGAGACAAAACTACAATCTCCGTAAAGCTACAAAAGTGAAACCTTATTGCTGTTTTTGTTGTTCTTCGGTGGAGTGAATTTGTAGCTTGTAACTAGTGCGAATTTACGGTAATACGCGGGTTATCGAAACGTTTTTAGTGAGTGGGTTTGTGTCGTGATCTGGCGGTGATGTCTCCAAAAGTTGAAGTTGAACGTAGTACCTGATTTCGTTTAATTTTGAAATAATCGTCAGTTTTTAAGCCTTGAGGCTTGCCAAAGTGCAGAGGTGGAAATTCACCTCCACTTCGCCACTTGTTCTAACTTTATACGGCAGTCTTTCCGGTCAATAACCCTCATTTCGCACACACACATTCAACATACAAGACACTATTCAATTCCGGTAAAAGACACCAAAAACTAAACTTATTAGTTATTAGCTGCTGAATTTCTGGATTATGTAGATTGTTTTTTGACCTTCGTAACACTACCCGGCGCCCACTATCTTCATCGCCACTCTTTACGTAATCAATAAACTGCGGGCGAAAGTATGTCAATTTTGGCAGGATGAAAGACAAAGGAGATAAAAAAAACAATTGAGCGAAGCATGGCAGCGATTGCAGCATTTCTAAACAGCGACGAAGCCGGGTAAATATAACATTATTGCTTCTATTCAATTTGTTTATAACAAAAAGAAATCATAAAAAACAAATGCACTTAAAAGGTAATTGTACTGTTAGTACAGTTATGCGCTTATTTTAACATGAACCTGTTTTTCGTACCTACTAATACTACACTTTTTAATGTAAGGATTTTTGCAGCAACGGATACAATGGGGGTTTACAGTATAGTTGAATTCCGCAGTTCTAATTTAATAAGCGTGTACCTGAAACCATAAAACATTTTTTTGGACAGTAAAAGTTTATTTAAAAATAGAGGCTGATTAGCAAAAAAATAATGAACACGTGCGCTTTTAAAGGTTTATTCAAAACGATATGATTGTGGCGGGCTCTGTGACGTAATAAGCCCGACCAATCAGCTCCTAGAACCATTCAGATGACATAACGACTTGGCAATATTGCAAGAGAATGGCATTTATAACTTGCGTCATCTGTCACAGGCACTTGTCACTTTCGTGCTAGATGCAGTTAAACATCCCTTTCAAAACGTCAAATGTGACAAACGTCAGACCCTCGCGTAAGGTTGCCAGCTCACTTCTACGTGATTGGTTGTAGGTCTGTGACGTATTTAGTCTGAAGCGTTTCAAATTCAGACTAAAAACACAGTTTTTCAATCATTTATTTTGGGTTTATTTTACTCCCAAATAAAAATTGAGGACACACAGGTCTTTTTATTTTTAATGTACTTTGTGGATCAGAAATAAAAAATGAAGGCGGGATGACCCCATTGTATAATTATCTTTATGGGGCTGATATATAAAATTCAATCAAGTTGTTGCCCATATACCTACACACCTATAGTTACAAGTTTTTTTTCTTGAAGATTACGACTTAATTACATTTATACCTAATGTGGAAGAAATAAAAACACCGCTCCCATTAGTGATTAAATATTGTTTTTATCTATGTAGTTCAGCAAATCGTTAACTGGGCTGGCAATTTATTCAACAAGTGTCATCTTTGTCCGAGTCTTTCTCGGCTTTACGTACCTACAGGCTGTAGCTGCGCTTTTCACCTTCTACCCTACGTCAATACGGATATCCTGTTCCTTCGCCGATGGTAGAAATTGTTACCTCCGATGTGATTTTCAGCACGCGTAAAAGAGACATCTGAAATTAGCGAGAAGTACAATTACCTAGTCAAAATCTTCTAGGTAATTCGACAAAGTATAACTGCAAAATACAAATTTGACAAAAATAACCATAGCGGAAGTGAAAGCTTCCATCATCTCTCCCATCGCATTAATTACGATCAACGGTGGATTGGAATTGAGCTAGATAATACTACTGAATTATTCAATGATCATACCTCGGATCATACCGAATCCTCGTTTAATTAATGGGAAGCTTCGAATTGGGATGGCCATAAAATCCGTCGTACATAAATTGTCGAAGGTTCATTTCGCGGTTCATTCAATGTGAATTATAAAACCGAGCGATTAAAACAAATTGTGTAGAATTGTAGAGTATTGATAATATATTTTTTTTTAATTTGCGGCAATTGTTTGAAGTGGGAAAAGTACAAAATTCTCGTAAATTCTATAAAAAAACCTCGAAAAAAACCTCAAATAAATCTAACAAAAATCATTTAAATTCTACCCGAAAATTTAAACCGTCCATAAAGATTGATCCTAGGTACAATACCTCGTACAATAAGAAGCCTGCGTCGTGAAAATGAGACAGCGTTAACTTTTTTGACGAATTTTTTTTCGTAATATTTATCTCAACTTACGGTTTTTTCGTCCGCCTGATGTAACGTAGGCATGGATCCACAAACCTTTTTCGAACATTTTTTTTCGCCTAATCCAAAACCAATAAATCGATTGATTAACATCATAGTCGATCATAGTGTAGGAATACGCTATTTATTTATTGTCCCTCTTGTTCTAGGCCATTACGGTTACGCCCAATTACCTCATAATGCTTTTGACTCGCATAATGCTTAACTATGTTAACATCTATACCTCTCTGTGGACTGTGGCGACTCATCGAGATATCCTTACTGGAGACTCTTAACTTTACTGACTTTGTCACATCTTAGCCTTTAGCTCTCAAATTCCAAACCTGCATTACCTAATATTTTCCGTATTTTTTTATTGATTATCGGAAAGGGCACATCCAATATCCTATCTAAAGACGTGCCATCCTTCTTGATACGTTTTATGCGAGGTCTTATGGTTCTGAAGAGGAAAATTAAAAAGAAACGCAATTTGGTGATACTTATTTAAGGGTAACATTTGTGACCACCGGTTTATTTGAAAAAAAAATGTTAATTAGTCCCCTCTATTACCCGATAGTTTAATTCCCTAATGTAGATATCTATTAGTATGTATGTATATACTCGTAATCCAATCTTAATTTTGAAGTAATCCGCAGACAAAATATCTTATTTCTAAGTATCATTATATGTAGGTATACATTATATAGATATTGCAAAATATAAAATACAACGTTTCTGCTCTAATTTCTTCATTATTATATACTTATGTACTTACTTTTAGTTCTGCGCGTTCTGCTTTATTACAATAAATTACAGTATATTCGCATGTAGCTAATTGTTCGCATGTAATGTAATTCCGAGGTAATTACCATCCACTTTGTCGAAACCGAACTGAATTAAATTATATATACTCGATTATATATTAGCTATTTCGAAATGGAACACTCTCGTCAATTGCACATAAACGAAGATGAAACCATTTTTTTGCACTTTGTAAGTATCTCGCTTTGTATTCATATTTCAGTGCGTAGGTATGGGGGTAGAAACAAATACCATATTAAATGCACTTAAAGTTGACTTCAGGGAACAATACAGATTAAAAGCAGTTAACAGTACAAGGCATCCTCTATTCTATATAAACAATTAGACCAAATTATCAATACTTTTAGTTTATTTACAGTTGATGAATTTATTAAGCAGGGGTATGCACATTTAAATGTACATACTCTTTCTGTAAATTTGGAAGGAACGGATGATTAAAACAACCTAATCTAAAAAACAAATTAAGCATCCACACTCTTAATTTTCTGAGGCCTGTAAAAATATTAGTACCCCCAAATGGTATTTAATGGCGGGATTTCGTTTCCATCGTTAATTAGTATGCCACTTTAAAGGTCTATCCGAGGGTCTATCGATTGTACCTAAGTATATATTTAGTGAAAGTGGGCGCGTGTTGTACCTATTAACTTTAATTTTTATTGATTCATATCGTGCTTTGTATTTTCTTCGCTCTTTTAACATGGCGAGGGTATCTCATAAAGTAACATAAAGACGCAATTGCGTCGCATTAAACAGTGAACGAATGCTCGAGAGACTTTGGTGATGATTGAGACGGAGTCAGTGGAATGTGATTTATGATCAGTTTTGCAAACCACCATCGGTTTTGAAATATTCACCCGGTATAAGATATCAACCGGGCCCTTGCGGTTCAGTTGGATTGATAAATCTTGCGTAATATGCGCTAAATTAGATATATAGTTGAGCGGTTGGCACGCAGATAGAACATTATATTCTGGAATAAAGGAATAATTCATAGATTTATCAAAGTTACATAAAACAAAGAACACTGAAACACTCCCTTCCCTTTACAAAAAAATTGAATTGCCGTTTGGCTCATTTTAAAAGCATAGGCTATCTACTGCAAAAAATCAGAACTCTAAACCAATTCCTTTAAAAGTCGTTCAAAACTGCAGAAGTGGGTCCGAACGGACAGACAGACAAAACGCAAATAGTACATGTTTTTTTAATTATATAGGTACTCGAAAAATCGATAACCCGATATCCAATTGTGCCTGATGGTCTCATAGCGTTGAATTATAAGGAGGGCGATGTAGAAAAAGCAGGTACCAAATTCTTGACAAAACAGCTTCCTAGCTCAAACTAGATATTAAAAAAAAATGTTATAAGTATGCCAAATTATGCCGAAAATAATATTTTAGTTTTTTACCTTTGACATTTTGTCTCCGTTTTTGTTGTATTAAAACTTTGAATAATTTTTGTAGGTTGTACGCAGGAATAGAAAGTTTTTCAAATAATTTAATAAACATTTTGCTTTGCTATTTGAAAAAATTATAAAAAATTATTATCAATTAAAACTAAAAAACTGATTGTACCGTTTATAATCTTAGCTATCAAGTAGAATTTCACATCATTTCATCGTCTCATTACTTACTTTATTATTGTTAATAAATTACGAAGAATTTTCCATCAATCTCGTAAGGTCTCTTTTTAACAATTCTATCCATTTGGCTTCTTCGTCCATTTGTTTTCTTATGGAGTTCTCAAGCTCACGTATTTTCATTAAAGTATTTTCTTCAAATTGTTTACCACGTTCTAAAAAACTTTCCACTTCGTTTAGAACGCTTTTTATTGAAACCTTAGGCACTAACTCTAGCTGTTTCTTGTCTAATTTTGGTGGTAAATCTACAGGAATCGGCGGTGCCATCACTTTCTTAAGAGGTTTTTTAATGTCATGCTCTGTTGTAATAGTTACATTTTCTTCTTTTGACTTTGATTGTTCCGCAGTTTTTAATTCGTCAAAGCTTTGTATTTTTGTTGCTTCTGGAGTAACCTCGTTCCTATGAAATTTAAATGAATATCTTCTATCGTTTTGTTCGGCGATTTTCATAAAGTCGTCTCCTTTCGCCAACACCTTCTCCTTACGAGCGAGAAGTTCATTCATCCATGGTACTCTATGGATTTTGGAAGTTTGAATTTCTTCCATTGGTGATGGGTTTCCTTTTACGATTGAGCTAGCACTTCCGTCTAGGACAGTTCTTGACATATGCCTGGTGGTTACTTCCTGAACGATCTGTGAAAATTTATTTGAATTTACCATTGGCTCTGTAACCATTTCATCATCATTCATTGAAAAGGACGTCTGAAAGATACTTTCTTTCATAAACATCTGACTGGGTGGCCTACCCGTACTTTTGGTACGCGTACTTCGCTTGTCTTCCAATAAGCTAGTGGCTTTAATATCATCGAATTCTTTTGTTTTCGTTAGAAAATCTGCAATAAATAAACCACAAGAATTACCTGAAAAAAACTTATCTACTTTCATTTCTGATAAGATAAGTAGGAGTCAGTTAATACTACGCTTACCTGCTGAGACAGATTTTTGAGTGATATCAAATACGGCGTCTTCGTCAAAAAACACGTTCGCTGAAACAAGGAATCAAGTAAAAAATGATTACCTAAACATTTTTAAGCCATATAAGTACCGGTCATTTATGAGTATCTTCCTCACTAAGCAGATTAAAACTGAACCTTCAATCTTATCAATTATGGTTACAAATAACGTAGGTATCTGGAGAAAGGGGAATTATTATCGCAATGATAAACCGATCGAATTTTTATTATGGTTTGCTTTATTTCAGGAGGCTGAAAGCTGAATTGCAGGCACTTCGTAGAAGAGGCGCTTTAAGGCCGGGAGATTGGAGCAGTCCGACACCGGATCCTGACAGGACTTGCGGTAGATGCAGGGTTGAATTGGGAAGAGTCATCAATAGGGGTGCCTATTGCCAATCTTGTAGGCTGAAAGTGTGCAAAGGATGTAGAGCTTACGCATTTAGGACATCAGACTGGGTGTGCACTGTCTGTCATAAGCGAATGTAAGCCCATAACTGGAAAGTAAAAAAATATAAGTAATTTTTGTAGGGAAATTCAAGCAGTGTCTGGCGAGTGGATGAACGAATTCGTAAGGCGGCCTAGTCGAAGGCGTGATAATCGTGTCTATGTCCCAGCTGCAGATATAATTAAAAGAACAATTCGTCGTTCATGGACAATTTCTAGTTCGTATATTATTTCTTTGGTCATGGCCATAAAAAAAATTGTTGTAGGTCCGTCGCCACGATGGAACTCGCCACGTGGTTCACAGTCATTACGTCCATACAACAGTCTACCAAGAGGACAAGATATAATTAAATACCCCTCACTTTTATCTTATCACCATGAGTATAAAAGCACATCACCCAAAATGCAAAGACATACTCCAGCCCAACGTTCCCATTCTGAAGACGTTTACGCCGAACGTGAGGTACCATGCCGTAAAGAGATAGTGGAATTTGAAGATGACGAGGAGACTCGATATAGTTCTACAATTGAAATCATAACACGACCGAGAGTTAATCCTCTATTAAAAGCGGCGGCTGAAGGAAAACTGACCGCCGCCGTACCTTTTGAAATGAAAACGTGCACACCACCTCCAGATCACGTTTTAAATCAGCCTAAACAGGAAGAGAAAGAAGTGGGGGAATTGCCTGAGAAACAAGTAGATGAAAAACGTGTCAGTTTTGAAGAAGTCACAGTGCCAAAAAAGTTTGAATATAATCTATTTTCCAAAGCAAGATCGAAAGGAAAAGATAAAAGTATTCTGAAACCGCAATCTTTAGATGAAAGCAGTGGCAAGAAAAGTAAATTATGTTCAAGACGATCACTTCCTGAAGAAATTGAAAAGGCAGAAGTATCTGTAAATGAAATGGAGGTTGTCGAGAATATAAAAGAAGAGGAAATTGTCAACGAACAATGCGATATTGAACCCTTTAGCGGAACGGTCTTTCGTAAAGTAACAGTACAAAGGAGACGCCAAGATATGAGGAAAGTTCCAGCTATTGATAATGGTGAGTGACATTTCTAAATTTCAATTGTAAAAATCTGTTACTAACGCTTTTGCGCCTTCCATTTTTAAACCTTTTCCTCATCATTAGTTACTTCTATGTAAGAAGTAGGTATTGCATATTTTATATCTCAGATTTTATTCTATGATGTTCTTGTTTTGTAATTTCAAGATTGCTCTAACACGATGCACAATTTGGAAATGTGGCAGTTAAAAATTAAGAAACGATAAAAAATGAATGAATGAAAGCAACTTTTTATAGTTCCGACTGCTATAAATCCATAATTGACTAAAAGTGAACTACTTGCAGGAAGTTTAAAATTGTATGGTTGGCAAAAATCTTTAAAATTCACTTAAAGGTTTGAAAAATCTAATTAATAGTCTATTACTTCAATTATTATTAATATAAATCAGCGATAACTGTTTTTACATCATTTGGAAATTTTGGCTTGAAAATATTGTAGGTACCCTTTTATTATATTCCAGGAGATTCTTGCTCAATAATATAGAAAATAGCCGTTCATATGAAAACATTAGTTGGAGAAAGGAATTATGGTGTATAATATTATAGGTAGATCATATTCAAAATATATGCATTTTTGGAGATCTTGGAGAAATGAATTTTTCCTGAGCTTGTTCATGTTTTTTTAAGCCACCAATCGCCCTGTCTCCTACTAATAAAGTGGGATTGAACATTTTCGATAAATTATTAAATAATCAGTCCTGGTATCACTAACGTAAATTGAAAACTACTGTTGAATGTAGGCAACACACATTTCAAATTGAAACTACCTAAACATATTTAAAGCCTAACCCCTTAACAATTTCCTGTCTCCTAACTTTGTTTATTTATTTACCGTATGTATTAAGCCCAACCCATATCATTTTTTCTAATTACGGTCCAAAGATAATCGTGTTCACAGTTGTACCTACATACAGCGTGTTGCATCGACAGGACATAGGAAATTCCATATAATTTGAAGGAGGTTAATTATTGGCTTCCCTAATTATTAAATCTATTTAAGTTATTTGAAGAGCATTAAAATCCGCATTTAAAACAATAGCTTTCGATGTTTTTTATTAACTCCTTACGGAGATATTGCCAAACATATTTTGTAATTTCTCCTTTCTTATCGCCCCGTATTTACAGGGAACAATTGAGGTAAAGGTTGACTGTCAAATGAAGCTATCATACCGAAATTTAATGCTTTAGTTCTATTATTAGCCATGAATTACAGGAGTGAAGAGAAAGTGATGATAAGTACAAAGCAAATTGAGCAAGCTATGGGAATAAATCACAACAACAGCGTCCAGGACCTTGAAGCAATATAAATACTTCTCTACAAATATGAAGGGCACCAAGAGCTAATAGCACCCATTGTTTTAGATGCGGATTTTAATGCTCTTCAAATAACCTAAATAGGTTTTCCTCTAAAATAATTAGGGAAACCAATAATTAATATACAACATATTTTTTTTATACATATTTATGACTTACATAAGTTTACATATTATTGGAATGTACGCAACACATCATACACCTCAGTAGTCAAAAGTATGTATCTAATTTTTCAATACAAAATAAGAGGATTTATGTAAGTTCAAAAACAGCACTAGGCACCATGTGGCAATCAGAGGATGTTTTGGTATATTCCAATCTACCGGAAAAGGTGTAATACCTTTGTAAAACCATAACATGGTTTTGGTGGGTTCTCAGTCCATCTGGTCCTCATTTGTGGGAGCCCCATGTGTCAGTTGAGGCAAGATGTCTCTATGCATTGCGTCTGGTTGTAGTGCTATTTTTATTCAGTGTTCTGCATCTAGTGGTACCTACATCTTGTAGTGCTATTATATTACAGGCCTTTCAGTGGGAGTGTTCATATGTGAGACGTCATCAAGGATCTCGGCATACTTCCATATATCATATATAGTGCAATTCTGCATTCTGCACAATTAAAATTCGGCATTATTTCTTATCTAAATTTAATACAAGGATTTTGTGTTAAAAAAAATGAAATTATTAATGCATCTGCATTATTTGTTGCCTACTGGGTTACATGCGAAAAATTCATATGGTTAGATTATCAGAGTTGGATTTAAATAGCCAGATTAATTGAATAGGTGTATATTCGAAATTCGGATATACTTCAATTCGCTTGTTCCAATTATTTAAATCTTCTAAATTCAAATTAAGCAATGCATACCTACCAGATTCATGAAAATCTTAGGCATATATACGTTAAGGATGCTTGATGATATCATCGCTTTAATGCAATGCTCAATATCTAGTAATTTTCACCCATTGGTATTGTTTTTCAAAATTTGGTTTGATATTTTAAAAATTGTATCTAATATTTCAATTATTCAACCGTTCTAACAACGGCTATTCGAATACTTCAATTCAAATGATTCCCAATCCTAATGGAAATTGTGAGGCATGTGCATCAGGTTTATTAGGTAAATAATGGTGTGTATGTTTCAATTTTACTTATGATTGGCTATTTAACACTGTATAAGTCAGCCAGCAGGTTGAGCAGGACCGTTACCATATTTTTTAAGTAATAAAGTCTAAATTTTTATAGATAAATCGGATGAAATAGGCTCAAAGATAGAGGAACAAATAGAAAGGAACTACGAAGCGGAAAATGAAAATCCGATTTCATCAAGTAAGCTTATATTTCAATATTTTACAAACTAAAAAAGTTTCCCAGTTCTTGTAAATAAACATACTTTTAATTTTTATAGATGAATCGGGTGAGCAAGTAACTGATGAGCATGGTGCCATAACAATTGAGACAGAGCCTGCAAAACTTTCAAGTAAGCGCATTCGCTTTACCTACTGCTTTTCGCAATATTAATCGCGTTTCATTTAGGGCTGTTTGACAGAGGTTGTAATTCGGTGCTTAATTTTTTTAGATAATACTGACGATCTAAAGACAGACAAAGAAAGCGAAGCAGAAACGAAAACTGAAGCACCAAACAATGGTCAAAGTAAGCCAAATAATGCTTTAGTTTATTCCGTTTTAATGTGTATTTCGCTTCGCACTTTATATCAATTAATGAATATCGTATTGGCTTTCATCTTTTTACTGTTCTGATTCCAAAAGCGCTTTTGATTTTGTTTAAGCTATTCCTAAGTGATGTACATAATGTTATAATTCCAAGTTACTGAACCAATAAAGCACTCGCGTTTATTATCATTAGATATGTCTTATTTCAATTCGTACGTACAGTGCCCTACTGAATGCATTGGCGCGATTGCCATAAAAGTGCATTATTTTCTTAGAATCGTAGACTATTATAATTAGATATCTTTCGTAGAGCATTTTGACTATTGGCAGTCAAACAATGAATCACAAAATTTGAGCGTTGAGCAAGAAGGTTGGCAAAGAAACCTGTTATTAGAACCTTTGCAATACTTTTTAAACTTGACCTTTTAACAAATGTTAATGTATTTCTAATCTATCGAGCTTGCGGCTGAGAATTAACTTTTATTTTGTAGAATATTGAGATGTTATGCGAAATTAATCGTACTAATAATTTTTTATTGTTAAACGTGCATGTTGGTAAATACGGAGGCGGTTATCTGTCCATAACAAGCGCCCCTGCTCTCGTGTGGGTTGTGGGTGCGCTCTGTTTCTGGTGGAGGGACGTTTTTTTTGCAATGTTATTGACGATTTGTATCGTGCACAGGCCGGCGTCGCGGTCCCGAATCTGAAATTCTCGATATTTTGTTACCAGAAGGTGACGATTACAAGTTGGTGTTTATTAGTTCGGACAGTTCAAGCAAAGAAGAGGATGTAGATGACAATGATAGTTCGTCGACTGCTTCTAGTTTTCTTATCGACGATTGTGATTGGGATTATTTCGAACCGAGCGCGGGTACCCGACCTTTCTTAAGTTGGAACTCTCCGTTTGGGTCACCGCGTGGATATCGTCGGGGAGGTTTGGAGTCTCCTTTGGGATCCCCACTAGTGTATCGTAGAGCTAAAGAATCGGATACTGGCACTGATGAAGACACGAGGCTTGATAGTGATTCACCATCCTCATCTGATCGATCTAGGGACGTAGAGGAGCAGGTCGATTTCGCGCGTTGCGAACCCACTATGGATGACATTGCTGTGGCGTGCGTGCATCCCTCTGAAAATGCGGAACCGTGGCCCCGTCTCTGTCAGAGTTGTGGGTCACCGACGCAGTACATCCCCATTCCCGTGCCTATTCCGATTCCAGTACCGATACCGGCATTGTGGTGTCCACCTTTCGTACGTTTCGGCTTGGACATCTTCGAACAGCACACCCGACCGCGGCTGCGTGTATTTCCCCGATCCATTTGGCCTTATGTAAACCAAGCGGCTGTTATCTGGCCGTTGATAAGCGCAGGTGAGGCGAGTGCAATATTTTCGTCATCACAAAACAGTCGCGCGGACGAGTGCGTTGCGGAAGCAAGTGCAGGTGGTAGTATGTTATTGCCCCTCAAGCGTAACGAAGCGTCAGCTGCTTTCGATTTGGTTACTAATCCAGCGTCCGCCGAGGAAAACTTTGATAGCGTTGAACCCAAAATTGACGCGAGCGCCAATGAAAAAATCGAATTTGAATTTGTAAATCAGTTTGGCGAAGAATTGTACGGTCATTTAACGTCCGAAAATGTTAATGTGGATACGGATTCATCGGAGCATAGCACTGATGAAGATAGCGGGGATGGTACGAAACCAAGGGTGCGTAGAACGTATAATGTGAGCGGTGGAAATTTGCGAGAAAGCGATGACGCTTTGCCTAGTAGTGAAGTGAGTACGGATTCAGAAGTGGAAGATCAAAGTTCTGTTAGGGAGGATGATATGTCTTCGACTGGATCAGCCGATACCGATAGTAACGATACCGGGACTGTTGCGGATCAGAAACCCAAACGTTTCTCGCGAGTTTTGGTGGTTAACAAAAGTGTTTCCTCGTCTTCGTCGTGCGCGGAATCGATTATAAACGAAAGTTTAGACAGTGAGAGTGATTCTTCCGACAATGATACGGATACGGAGAAGGATTGCGGGGTTGTTTTGACGAACATTAAGTTATTGTCCGATTGTGATGTTTCGGACTGTCTTCTAAATGATATCTGTGATAATATTGACAGCGTAGCCGAACCGAAACCACTCGCTTCAATTTCTGCTAGTGAAATTCATATTATTAATGGAATTGTGAATGAATGTTTATCGACGAGCCCGGGATTGTCTGACGTGAGCGCCGAATCGCATCATTCAAGTGATAACGAAGACGTAGCTACCGGTGCTAATGGAGAGCGAAAGGAAAAGGAAATGCAAGCGGTGCATAATGATAATAATTATTCAGCGGTAACCGAAGAACAACAAGCCATAAGCACGAGCGCGAGCGCTAATATCCGGTCTGACGAATTTCAAACTGGAGTGGGAAATGGGGAAAGCAATAGAGGTGAGCGGACAGGTGTGCCACTGCCAGTCGCGAGTGAACTCGATGATGCTACGCAACGGCATGCGGCCCGCTACACGAGTCTTGTCATGATTACGCAGGAACCTACCGTAACGTACCCTCAAGTGAGTGTTGTGACCAGTGATACAACTACCCTCATACCTGACAACGATATTGTCGTGCGGCACACAAATTGGCAGCTTAAAAACGATATTCGAGATAACGAGTATGAAGGATATCTTACTCTAACGTTAGAAAATACTTCGACGAACGCTACCGCGGCGCAACAGCAAAAAAGTCCGACCCAATCTGAAGATAATTGTGACGTTACGGTTGTTGCGAGTTCAGATGCACCGGTGCACATAAGTAATCATGACCATACCGAAAGCGTGACTGTGATAACGGGTGCAGATACTTTATCCGCGCTAGTCTGTCTCGAAGACGGTTTGGCAGATGATGACTCGTGGGTGGAAAATTTAAGCGTAGACGAAGAGGATTTAGTGGGTAGTACTCAAACGGAGGAATCTTCTTCGTCGGGGGATGAAGTGACGCTCACGTGCACGGCCGCGATCGACCAAGATGACGATCTAGGTTATCAACGATCGGCGATAGACTTTACTTTACACACTATAGTTGAGGAGAGCTGCGAAGAAAGCGAAGTCGAACAGCAAAACACCATCAAAAAGAGACGCCCGGCATCGGCCACTGATTTGGAGAAATATTTCTTCTTCGGGCTCGGAGATGGAAACATTTCGTCGATCAACTCGGCGCGCGAAGATGCCATGTCCGAAACAAGCAGTATATGTAGCGAGGGTATGGATTCTCTGGGGGTGCCAGAAGAAATCGCGTCTAGCGATAGTATGGATCCTGCCGAGCTCGCATCGTCCAGGTTAGAAAAGTACTTCCTAACTGGATTTATGGGATTTACGGCCGAACGAAGAGATTCCGATGGAAGCGTAGGAAGCGACAGTGAGGGAAGACCGAGTCCAGAACAGCGACGAAAACGACTGGTTCGTGCTAGGGGTACCGGAAGATCACACTCATCGTCACTGGATAATCTCTTGGCACACAGCGAATTATCAGGAACGGATCAAGGTGAACAAGTTAACTCTGAAGAATTATCCAGTTCAGACACAGATACCAACGAAGATGGTACTAGTTTTGAAAAGTCGGAAGGGCAGTTCGACACAGTCAAACGCAAGAAGAACAAAAAACCTCGTGCTGTCGCCCCCGGCTCAAATTGTCCAGAAGAAGCCAAATTAGAAAGCACACACGAAGAGAATCATTCAGAAGAGGATGGCAATAAGACACCCCAACCTACTCTTTCACTCATAATCGAATCTCGCCAACAGCAAAGTCGCGATAGCGGCTTTATTGGCAGCTGCGATGATCTAATCAAAGAACAACGGGAATCAACCGAACCTGTAGTAACCGCACCTACTGACAACAAACTCGAACGCGTATCCGAAGAAAAGAAGGTGGAGGATCGAGTTACGTCATATCCACCACCCCCGGCAACGTCCCTAACTCGCAAAGACAGCTTTAACAACTGGAGTTCAGACGAAGAAACAAACCTTATGATGTGCAAAATGCGGCAATTTTTCAAAACGATGATCGCAAACAACGGGCCACAGTCCAAACCGGCAACCCCAACGTTAGGCAAAGACTCGCCAAAACTCCTCCAAAGTCCTCGTTTCAAGAATCGACATAAACCGCCCCAACTCCTCTACTTCGAAAGTGAATTGACGCGATTAATGAAAAGTGTTCCCGGCATACGCGACGATCAAGTGCGCGAAATCGTAGAATACCTCAGCAGCGAAGACACCTGGAGCGATTCGTACGATTCCTCCGACTACACAAGCTCCGATCTCGAAGGTGGAACGTGCAATAAATCACTCCTCCGGCAGCAGATCTCGGACAGCTGCCAGGAGATCATCAGCAAATTTGACACGGGAGGTGTAGAAAGTGCCGACGAATCATACGGATTAAACAAGGAAACGGCGTTCGTCTACCAGAGGTTAGTAGCGTCCTTCGAAAAAATGACAACCGCCGAAAGTGAAATACCGCACGCGCCCCACAGCTCGCCGCCTCTCATCGCAAAGGTAATGCATCATATCGGAAGTCGTCTCGTAGCCCTAATGCACGAAGTGTCCAGCGGAGAAAGTCACGCGAGCAACAGCCCGAAAACGCGCCATTATCACAGACGAATACACCCCAAGCTCTCTAACGCATCCAGTACGACCACCGAGGAGGATGACTGCATTACGGAGAATTTAATGGAACGCCTCGAAAGTTTAGAAGATAACGTTCCGAATTACGCGTACTTGCCTAGGAGTCGCTCGCACGATCTTCTTCTCAGCGAGTCGAAAACCTTGCACCAGTCTAGTAGTGGCGTTTCCGACATTGTCGAAGAGCGCGAGACTAGTGATTACGAACGTTTTAGTTGGAGGGGCAGCTTTGAATCGGCGCTTATGGCGACCGACTCGAGGAACAAACTGTCCATAATTGGATCTGAAGGATCTGCGTCGGCTTCCGCGTTGGCAGTGGCTGCGAAACGACGATCTGCGGGCGATCTGATGTTTAGCAATAAAAGTTTGAGTAGGGAACAGCTGGATCGCGTCCGGAGCTGTGGCAGTATCGGTGGAGGGGGTAACAGCGAAGATAAGCTGTGGGTGACCAATACTAATCGACCGACGAGAAGGTCGAGTGTACCTGATGCGGCATCTGGTTCAGGAGGGTCGGCCGACGGCGAAGATGACGATGACGACGAAGACGAAGAGTTGGAGAACCGCGCCACTCTACCTCGAAGTCTCCAGACCAGTACGGCCACTACAAATTCGTTACCTCGTTTACCTACAACAACACCCGCAGCTTCCATGTATAAAGCTCACAGCATGTACCACTTTTTGCAACAAAATGTGAAAAGTGCGCGTTATCGTCCGCCCGGTTTTAATAAATTTTCGAGTGCACCCAAACGAGCAGTTTCTGCACCTGGATTACAACCTTCTCATCAACGCCGTGGACGAAGATCGCAACAATCCAGTATTATTGTACCTGGTAAGTTTATTTAGTTATTTTAAGGGTGGTATGGTGGGTTTTATCGTTGAGTGAAGGATCTAGGTAGAGAGGCAATGCTTATGTTAAAAGTATAGTGAACGTGGGGTTTGAGATATAGGCGGCCAAGAGTGATCTCAGATCCCGACGGCAACAACCAAGTCGGCGATCCAGATCCGGATTGCATTATTTTATTTTCATATTTTCGCTACCACAATATTAACCTTACAATTACATTATCGCTTTATTAAATTTGCGAGGGCAACAGGCGAAATATACGGTTACGGTAGGTCCGTATCAGAGGCTGCATGTGGCCCTTGTAAAATTAATTTGTGATCGATGATCGAAACAGTATGTTTACGGTGACCGAAACATATTATTTAAAAGTATTATAATGCACATTTTATATCTAGGTATATTCTATATAAAACAAACGGCCGCATCAAAAGCAAGCCTTTAATCATGATAGCAGAATAGCTAGATAAAGTTACCAGCAGATTCGCCAATTAAACAAGTTGTCTTTGACCTTCCCGGTTATGATAAAGAGAAACACATAAAATAAATGGTACACAGGTACTTATCATTATAAAATTCAGTAGGTACCGTCTTTTTTTCAAATTGTCACGTTAATTGCGAGAGAGTACCTATACCTAGCGTTATCGGTTTAAAATAAGTCGGTAGTGTGCTAAAATTGTAGGATGAGTGTTGCAAATCATATTTGCGTTTATGCAAATTGCTACATCAGCAATAAACATAGTGATGGGATAAGTTTCTTTAAATTTCTAAATAATACCTACTTTACTCGCACAATCGCAAAATACATAAACATAAATGATATGAGATACTTTTCTTTGTGATTAGGTAGGTATACTTTTTTGAATTTCGTCCGTACGTACCTGCTGCTTTTAGAACTGCTCTTAATTAGGTATCTGATCCAATAATTATGATAAGGGACTGATATTTTGCAGGTATACAATTGCATGAAAATAGAATGACTCATTTTGTTTACGTGTGTTACAACGGTTTTCGATAGTTGCAATTGGAGTTACGCTAAAGACTGATTTCGTTGGAGAGGGCGGCTGGGCGAAAATACTGAATACTTGTAAATTGTAAAGAAGGAAAGCGCCGTCGAAATTGTCGGTGGCGTTAGCTGTCGGTGTTGCAAAACGTGGACTCGGAGGGGCAGAGACGCGATGTGCAATAGAGAAGGGACTACCTTAGTAAAAGATCGGAAAGGATGACCGCTTTTCATATAGGCATTACCACTCTACCTAGATCCTTCACTCAACGGTTTTATGTTTTGTTAATCTCATCCGATTAAAGAAGAATTCGGATACGTCCCCAAGGAAGAAGCCAAAGCAGTTTGTAGACGTATGTCAAATGAGAAACTAGATCAGACACGTACTATTGAATGGGCGTCAGTCGTCAAGATGACTTATTTTCAAGTTAGAAGGAGAACATAAATACCTACTGGTTATTATGTAAGAAATTGGTTGCGTTACTCTCATGTTGATTTGATAAATAACCAGAAAAGCAGAAGTTTTTTGTATTGCACTATTCTACATTTGAAAATTAGCTGCTTACAGCTCACTGAAGTTTTGATTCGTTATTTTCATACTCAAAGATCCACGGTTTTCCCTACATCAGAACTCCAGTATGCATTACGCATTGTAAAACAAGATAGGAAGAATTTCATACGATTTTCAGTAGGGGAATTTTTGCCACCTCGCATTCTGAAACCAGACTTTTAATCAGGCTCATATGCGAAGGTTTGACATCGCTGTCTCTTTTCGGTCTCGTGTTGGACGAGGAACAGACGGACAAAACTTTTACATAACTAGAATTTTTTTCTTTTGAAAAATTCTCCTAAGGTAGCACACTCAAAAATCCAATAATCTCTTACTTTTATATTTTATCTACTGAGAAAAATATATAAAACATTTTGAATCATTGGTGTAGGTATTTGAAAAAAATATTATGCGTATTTTAGGCCCAGTTGTACAATGTGAGTTTATACTTCAGTTTTAGTTAATGTAAATTGTGGGCTAATAGTATGATTATATCACGAGTCAAAAATGACCTCGGTCTCGTCTCGAAAAATCGAGAAGACATAGTAGGTACAAGGTACTACTTCGAAGTATTCCTAAAAAAAATGCATAAAACTTTATGATTTTGGTGTCTCTCGTTTATACGGCAGGCAATTTCTATTTCCTGTTCTATTTGCAATTTTTTTGTGTCGACAATAGTTATTTGCTTCTAAAAAACAATTATTCTTGTATGCTGTGTAAATGATGTAGGGGAAAACGATAGAAAACTATTATTAAAGTGTCATTTAATAGGCATAGGACTAGGAAAGATCTCGTAAATTGGGATAATGTCTAAATTTTTGAAATAAATGAAACGGTGTAACATACCTCTTTGATACACAGGGACCTTATTGTTTGCTCTTCCCATATTCATCATCACTTGAGGAAAGTAGACCCCGAAGTTTCATCTCATTCTCACTTCTCAAAAAAATTTTCGATTTAGTAAATAAAATGCAAAAATTAAACCAATATAGCAAAAGAGCTCCTGGGTATGGCTATAGCTTGGCGTTGCATATTATATGGCTAAAGCTATGATCATTTTGAATTCCAGATTCATAACTAACGGATATGTCAAAAGGGTTTTCCTTATTTTTTTGCCCACATTGCCAATTCACAAATTTGATAAACAATCCATCTACAAAATTTCAACGTAATCGCTCCATTCGATTTCGTGATATCGTGCTAATCCACAGACAGACAGACGGACGGACACCGCAAAATTATCAATTCGCTAGAAGCTCGTTTAATACCTAACCATTGTTACCCCATATATGCAGAATAGGTATCAAACAATTTTTAGTTTTGTAGGTGCTCCGAAAAGTATACATAAAGTATATTATTTGAGCTCCGTTATTCGCACTTATTAACGTATTTACCGTTTAGTTACATTGTTACATAACATTATGAGGAAATATGTTAATTTTAATTGTGAGTGTCTATGACCAAGTTAAGTTTCATTTACGCAATTTAGGTACTAATTCAGTCTTCAGATTCTCATCTAGCGCCATGTGGTCATTACTTAATTTTAACGCACTCGTAAGTAGCGGGTGCCGGTGACTTATCGAGTATGTTTATGCGTAATCAACTTTTAAATGTATTTGCAAAGGAAGGAGTAATGTATTCTTCAAATCGGTTACATTTTTCCGATCTGATTGATCTCGGCTACAATTATGGAATTTTATGTGTAATACGATTCTTTTTACAAATTTTCTTTTTAATTGCCTTAAACGCACATTAAATGAAAGAAGTGAAAGTAGGTACAAACTAGGAAAAAACTGGCAAACCGGGTCAAGGTAAAAGATTGTAGAAATTCGTTTTGCATAGAGGAAAAATGAATCAATTTTGTTTGCTGCATTGTTAATTAATAACAATTTCCCACGTTTTTCGATTTTTTTATTAATTGGAACATGTGAAACTGGTTAAGACACTGCTCATGCTACAAATTCGTATCGTGTTAACAAATAATAACAATTATGTTTAGTCATAGTCAAAATTGTAGGACAACAGTAAGTTGAGGAAGGTTTAATTAATGACGTCCATTTGTGACGTAGAAAAGCGCATTAGTACGGAGTACCTTTATTTCTCAATTATGAACAATAAACCTTTACCTTGAAGGCATTGTAAATACTTTCAGACCTCAATTTCTCTTCTCTTCCCGAAGTTAACATGACGGTAGTTACTTAGACACAACTTTTACCTTCATATATTAACATTTATAGCTAAGCGATTTTAAATTGTCGAATTTACGTTCAATTAGAAAGCGTTTTCGCACTTGCAAGAATTTTTTTTTCTCAACTCGATCTTTATTGTTATAGTTGTAATTCATGTAACATAGGTAACTGCCATACATCATCAGGAAAATTAAAAACGAACTTTGTTGTAGGTGCCTTAAGGCAACCTTTAAGCAACATTCTTTTAATTTTCCCATTGCTGCTAAGTCGAGTATTATAACCTAAATTGCAGACACTTTTTCACAACTTTTCCTTTTTAGCACATTTCGTAAAATAAAAAAAAATACGTTTTGTTCGTCCGTTCGTTGTGTTACTCTGAAATGTTTCTTTTAAAAACTCTCGCCGTTTTTCTTCTTTTGTTCAGCTTAATCACGACAAAAATGTCTAAGCCACTTGGGTTTTGACCGACACCAATTTCATTGTGTTAGGTATATGAAATACATCTATGGAATTATTTCGTGTACCTACCTAATTGCAGTGCAGTCCGGTTATCACCTCGGTTAGCACTTTGCGAGGCACTTTGGATTGTTTGTACTTAAAATGGAGCCAAAGTTTTGGGTAAAATTGAACAAACGATTAAACCCCCTGTTAATTTCAACGACCCCGCACAAAGTAGTAGGTATTGTTTGTCCCAAAACCTGCAATGTTAGAGTAGGTAAAGGGACAGGTAAATTGCGAAAAAGCGTATTGCTGCTCAAGGCAAACGGTAATTTTTGTACATTTATCGCGTTACACAGTTCAAAACAACATGCTTACTCATTTGGCAATAATTAAATGTTATAGTTTTGGTGTACTTAAATCATTCAGGATAAATGACTACCTACGCTAAAAAAGTCTACACTTTTTAGGTTAGTGGAAGTAGGTATACAATTATTATAACATCATATATGAGATTGACAATCTCCTACTTCCATTAGATAAGATAATGACTATCAGCATACAGTTTGATAAAATAAATTAAAAAACCATAACGTGCAAATTGGTCCAGGAAAACGCGCCCCTGTAAATTTACCTACAATGTCAATTTTTTGTTACTTTTGGTTTGACCGGAAATTGCACCTAGAAAAAACGACCAAACGTCAAAGTATTGCTTTTTCCTAATTCTACGGTATTTTGTCGCTTTCGCGATTGTAGGATACCAACGGCGGCGTAATAGACAGAAAGTGAGGGGTATGTTTTAGATTTT